ACTGAAATCAATTAATATTTACTTTCAATTAGTTTTTGTATAATAAAGTTTATAATCATTTATATAACTCATGAGGGCTTGAACATCTGAAGAGGAGACATGCGATTATTTAGTAGGCAAAGATGAAAAGAACAGCATGATAACGTAGAGCATGAACATAATCAAGGTTAACTCTATTGGATACAGTAAAGATGGCTTTCACTTCATCAAGACAACTCTGATTGAACCAACAGATTAATGAAGATTTTAGTGTGGAATTCACTATGAAACAGTCAATATGTACTCCTTCAACTTTTCAATATCTTTCTGATTCACTGAGTAGAATTAAACAAGACACGTTTTGTTCACAGTGACAAACTTTACCATTCTGTTTTACATCAAGTTAGCAAGATTACCCGAAATACACTGATTTTTATGAAGAACCATACTCATCAAAGACATAGCAAATAAGAATTATGTTCATGTCAAGTTAAGACAGCTAGAAACCAATGCAATTGTTTGTGAAATAAATAAACTTTCTTTGCATCATATGACTATTAGTGAATGATATCGCACAAAAACATCGAATAATATCGGATATATCTGATTAGCAATCCCCCGATTGTAGATGATGTCTCAAAGTATTTTGAGTCCAACTGATGAAGGTCCGCAAAAATATAATATCCAATCTCTCCCAGTGAATTGTGAAACCACGATGGCTCGACAAATTGGCTTTGACATAGTTGATAATAAATAGGTGTAACTTTACTGAAATTACCATGGACATCGCAGAATGTTCGAATGACGTTCGTATAGTCCTTCGTAGACTTCTTGGGATGGTGAAGAAATAGTCTTTTTATGGTTTATAATGAAATACTGTTGTAAACAGCGAGAATGCTAATCATGTTGACAGACATTTTGATATAGAAGCGCATGGCAATGGAACCGTAATAAAGTTTCGTACGACTCTGCGAGTATTTCTCAAAAATGTTCAATTTATAAAGAGAATTTTTCATAGTTTCGACAGTATGTTTTATACGAAGCTGAATTGATGTTTCTAAACTGTAAACAATCCAATCGGAAATAATCGATCAAAAAAAAAACGCTCGTTCAGTGTGAAAATATGTACTTTTTTACGTTTTCAGAAGACTATATTTTTAAAGACAGCGAATTTGAAGGTATGATACTCACAACCTTGCTTTTTTTTTAAAAAATGAAATTCATTTTTCTATTCCTTACCGTGTGTTGCTGATGACCGAATATTTCTAGTAGAATACTGTTTCACAAACAACATGAGATCAGTTCAGTACGGAGTGACGGAACATCACATAGTCGTTAATCCACATACAAGAGCAATAAGTGTTGTGAACACAAATGACATCGAAATCATGAGAATACTTAAAGATGCAAGTAGTCGGAGCACATTGAAGAAAGTCAGATGAATGAGAAGTTTAACTAGCAATCCATTTTATGAGAAGTTCTTCGATTAATATGGCAATAGTTGTCAAAAGACGAAAGCGACTTGACACAAAGCTATGCAGTACTGATATATCAAGAGGTTCTACAATAGACTGAGAGAACATGGTCATGATACTCAGCAACAACTTACTTTTGCCGTTTGTCGCGATATATAGAGGAGAGATTTCATACTGCTAACTGCTATACCTACCCATGCATTCTCTTCGGCAAACAGAAAATGGCCTGTAGATATTCCCGTAACAAGGCGATTGGTAAATGTGAATTGTTTAACAATGAGTAGTAATCAAGCAAGCAAATTGGATGCAGTATTTTTGATTTATTCAAGAGCAGCGTTAGTTTTGGTTTTCAAAATACTTTCAGGTAATGTTAATAAGTTGACCAATGGCGAAGCCATAAAACCGTTGATCGTATCAGCAAGTGTTTATGCAATACTTCTTGCAGAGAGTGACAACTAGTTGTCACATTGCACTCAGACTAATTCGCACATCCATCGGCCAGATCACAGTTACATTCGTTCCCAAAACATAATCGACCCATGATTGTGAGACAAAATTGTTGAAACAACCTTGATGAAATGACGATTCAATATGAACACATGCGTCATAAGATACTGACATTTTTGAGCACGGACATTACAATGTATCTTGATACTTTACTTGAAGAATTTCGAAATCAGTTTGTGTTGGTAATATGACTATTCCTGTCTTGATGTGAATCTCTAATGAAGTATAAAGCATTAGTATGTATACAATCACGGAGACTAGGAGAATGAATAGATGAGTAGAAAGAATTTCTCTGCGAATTACTCTAGTATCTGTCGATTGTGAGTCAAAAGGGTTGAAGGTAGCCCATTTTTCTCTCAAATACACATGTATCCATTGCTTCAGACGAAGTTGAAGCATTTTAATACTCAGTGGAGATCAGACTCTGTGATGATTTTGTATTCGTTTCAGTTGTTCTTCAACACAACTGATCAGATGAACACAAAGATATGTAGTCTTTCACTATTTGTGAACTGAAGTTTTGTAATGAAGAAAACTTTCTCGTCGATCGTCAGCAAAATAAAATGAATGCTTGAAATTTATTCGAAGCGTAACAGTGAATACTGACAATGAATTTTGACAGAAAAAGATAGCAAAATGATAGTCACTCGTTCGCCAGATGTTGTGTATTCATTCAGATGATTGACAAACATCATCTGCTAGGCAATTCATAGTTTATATTGGTATGATATCGTTTTATATTTGTTTTGCTGTTGTAGAAACACAAGAAAGCTTCATGGAATTTATTCATCTTAGCAACAGAAGAAACTTTAACGTTTCTTTTTAAGGACATTCCTTAGTCGCACTGAAAAGTACTGTGAAATAGTAATAGAAAAACTGAAAATGTAGGCGCTTCATTTTATGCTGATGAAAAGCATCGTATAACAGAATTTTCTATAGTCCATTATATTTTCGATTGAGAAGCTATCGAACTCATTATAATTTCTCATTGCTATGTTGACTAATTATCACTCATATCCTGAATGTCTTCTGTAAAATATTCATTCAAAGAAACTTTCGTATTGATCCAGCTATTAAACGCTGTGTTTGGAAAAAACACGAGTTCAATGTTGTTTCTACATGCAATTTCACTATGAATCGAAAAGCCACAATCAATTCCTATCGGTCGATAGCCAATCTCAAATGTTTGACTTTTTCGACAAGCATTTGTCTCTGTCTGGTCAGCTTCATTGTCGTACACTTCTTCATAGTGAATGCTACTAAAAGTTAACAAATGAATACTTGTACATTCGGTATATCTGCTGGATTCTTATCAGACATTTAAAATTTAATTTAAGTATGTTATTTTATGCCTGAAATATTCGATTTGATGTTGATCAACTTCGATGTCAGATGCAAACGCGATTGGCTGATTTCATAGAAAAAAAACAACCTTCATTTTATCGATAGCTTGGCGTCTTTTCATTCTCTAAGTAATTTATTATCGGTATCATGATTACTTTTTTCTTAAGCACGGTGAATTGATAGACGACACATATATCGAGTGGCCCAGATAAAATCGGACACTTTTATTTTGATCATATCATCTGTTCTTTTAAAGCTATCAGGTTAGTTTTTTTTCAGTAGATTCTCCAAAAGACTCTTCATGAAACTTTAATTTTTTTTTAGTGCACAAAGCATCCACCATTTTGCAAAACTCAATACATTCTTTTACTTCAATCTTCAACATTTTTCTTTACAACACCATCACGAAATTCTTTTACAGCATGTTTTAACTCATTAATCAATGTCGATTTACTATAGTTCTGATTTGAGTCCGAATGAATTATTGTACTTGAGACGAATTGAATCAGGCAATAAGTTGGAATAGAATATAATATAAATCGCCGCTAATTAATAAACTAAAAAAAAATGCTGTAAAAAAATTTCATGATGATGTTGTTTAGGGAAAGTGTTGAAGATTGAAGCAAAAGAATGTATTGAGTTTTGCAAAACGATGAATGCTTTTTGCACTAAATAAAATTTAAAGTTTCATGCAGAGTCTTTTGGAGAATCTGCTGAAAAAAAACTAACCTGATAGCTTTAAAAGAACAGATGATATGATCAAAATAAAAGTGTCCGATTTTATCTGGGCCACCCGATATATAGAAGGATAGTCCAATAAGAGAGCAAGTCACTAATTACGTCAAGAGTGGCTTGGTTTGCTTATCTCTAAATATATTTTCCAAAATTCAAGCAAAATCATTGACAGTTGTCTATATTTACAAAGACAAAGTGAAAAGACCATGATGACACTTGAATATTTTGATTGAAAAATGATTTATTAGATAATTCTCACTTTATTTTGAAACAATATATGCAATTATTAGAATACAAATGTTTGAGTAGTCATACATCACACTTATTGGAATGATCAGGAAATCAACTTCAGAAACAGCAGGAAATTATTGCCACATGAAACTAACAGAATCTTGTCTCACTATAATTAGTCTATCTCAGAACTGATTATCAATTAAACTCACTAACAAATGCAAAAAAACGCGCCTATAAAGAAAACATATTTCAAGTTAAACGTTGTTATCGAAGTTTTTCCCGAAAATACTGTCCTGTATATGTGTGGAAAACTCAGTGAGAAGCCTCTGACTTTGAACGATTGAACACGAGCACATATTCATCTGCGATTATCTTACTCGTCCAGAAATTTACTAATAACCAAACAATTAACCCACAGGAACAGAATAACTTGCGATAGTTTCCTTCTGACACAGATTTACTAAACTAATGTTCAAAAGCAAGAAAACATAGTATTCATCCTAGTTTATTTTACAATTGCTGTACGATCTAACTAGTATATTATTTCAAAAGTTTGACCAATCGAAATCCATCCTATGAAGCCTATTGATAATCAAACTTTTTTGAATATTTATTGAATTTCTTAATTATAATATATATCATTATCTCATCAAACCTCTTTGAAAAAGATTGCTTGTTGAATATGACTTAGTATTTCAATACATATCACTGCAGACTTTAGTCTACCTAGAGCAATGAAATCCCATGCTTTTTTGCACTATCTATAAACCATTTTTCAACAAGTTTGTCTTTGTCACTGAAAATTCGATGTCCGCCAGGATTGGATAAAACTGCTTGTTGATCAGCAGCTACATAATAAACATCAGGATAGCTCGATATGATTGAAAAATGTGCATAAAATCCAGAATAACCCAAACCACCACTAAACTGATAAGGACCTTGGTTTTCTTCACCTGAACTCGGTAGTGTTTGAATTATTTGATTTAAATCTCCCCATTGTTCAGGGGTTAGCGACCAAACTGGGTTTGGACGACCAGAGTAAAGATATATAGTTGCAAATGGGTCGGAAAATTCTTCTTTCATAGTTGCAACACCAACTTTGTAAAATGAAACCGTCAAAATGCACAAAATAGCAAAACGTATGAAGATAAGAGACATCATGTTTTTTGCATGCGATCAAGATAGGTCGAGAAAGAGAAATTAAAAAAAAATGGTAAAGCGAAACTATTTACGAAAGGGACGAGAAAAAAATGCAGCAAGATTGTCACAGAACAGTAAAAGAAAAGGAAAAAGAAAGTCCAAAGTACAGTCTGACGGAGGAAATCGAAGGAATACGGTTTTTTTAAAAAGAAACGGAAGGTATCAGAAGAAAAAGAAGAAATTTAATGTACGCCTGAAAAGTGATATCCATCAAATTACAATCGAGGTTATGTGAACTTTCGGCTTATGATAAAAAAATTACCATTTGACACTACACTTTAGCATGATGCATATTATCATTTTTTTGTAGCTTTACTCATAGACGTTACGTACACAATCGATTCAATTTTAACTCGTTCTTTCATCTTTTTCACGGAATGAAAATAATGTTGAATATGTGGAACAGGCAATATAAAAAATCATTCTAAAAAATGAAAAGAAAAAATACAAAGCTTTGTAATATTGTTAGACTGCAAGTATTGATCTAAAGAAGACACGGACTTTCACCTATATTCCTAATCTAAGAATAGTTCCAAAATACTCTATTGTGTCGACATATAGATGATTATCTCGAATACGAATGAATTCTCCAAGAAATAAAATTATGAGATAGAAAATGATAAAGTAAATGTGCAGCTTCAACGTTATCTGAAACTTATAGTGCTATGGTTTGATTGAGAATCCATGGCAAATATTACTTATAAAAGTGATCAAAGTCACAGTTAACTAAAATTTGAAAATCAAGACGATTCTTTTGGGCATGTTCTTATATATAACTCTTGAAGTGCACATTCAGCTTTTGACTGACACAAAAGACATAAATGCTTGCAAAAAGTTTGACAAGTTTGAGTTAGAACTCATTGGTCAAGAAAACTAATCTCATCTTTTTACTGTAAAAGAAAAGAACTTATCGTCTAGCATGCTTTTATAGATCTTAGGCTCTGTATGCAATCGGCTTGTCAAGACTGATTTTGTTTTCAGTTTCTACAAATGCCCATTACAATACATGTAAGTTTTGATTAAAATGTGATAATGACACCATGTATTCTATTTGTTTTCTCTCAGTCGACTTTTTCTCATTCATGAAGATTGGCTACTTCCTAAAATTTTCAGTTTAAGATTAATGTCATGGTTTGCAAATGCTTTCGTAGTAGAGAGAGTCATGCACAGAGATGTAGATTTCACTTACTTCGAAAGGAATGATCTAGGATTCAGATTGAACATCACTCTTATCTATTGGTTTTAGAATTCTGCTTGACTACTACATCATTCACATGTTGGCTTGAAGACTCATGAAGTTGTTATCAAAAGCAAATATAAACAGGATGCCTCGTTGTAGAAAAAAGTTTTTTCAAGCTTGTTAGCGTTCACGCTCACGAAGAGCGACGAACACAGTTAACGTGCGTGTGTGGTTTATTCTCTCTCTCTTTATTCTTTAAGAAAACAAACGTTTATATACGAACATGGGAAACAAGGACAAAAGTAGAAAGGAATATAAAGGTTAATCAAGGACAAAGAAGAGCAATAGAAACGAAATAATAGAAATGAAAATATCAAAGAAAAGAGAATAGATAGAATCGAGGTATATGTAGTTACAATACACTGTAACAAAGCTACTTGTAAAATATATTTAATTCTTGTCTTATCGTTTATATGGATAATCACATTGTGTTTCTGAGAATAATTTCAAAATTTGTAAGTAGCTGCCTATGAATTAAGTAAAAAGTGTCCTTATGTGAGATACAAAATCTTCATTTGTACACCATTGTCACAGAGTGCATCAGAGTCAGGTATAACGTTATTCTCACTTGATATGAATGATTGTTGTCATTTACCTATGTTGAAAGTTTTCTTGAATAACTAAATGTAACTGTATGGAAGAGGATAACGCCTTTAAAGACACAAATCCAATGCAATAAACTCGACTCCGTTGAGTTATAAAAAGCAAGTTTCTCTTCGATCTGAAACTTCCCTAAGTCTTTTAGCAAGCACGATGGTCGAGAAATCTTTGGCACAAGAACAATAGAAAAGAACTTCATCTTTTCATGTTACTTATGTCGTTCATTGATGTTACCTTACACTAACAACATGAATGATGACAGAATTCAATTTTAGTACGGTCAGTTCCGTTGAACAAAAATAGCAGTCGTCTTTGACATTGAGTATTCTGCAGCAATTGATACTGATGGAGACTTGACAAAAAATCGATAAATTAAATCGCGGCAAAGGCTGACTTGCTTGTTTTTATTTGCTATTGTATTGAGTAGTTCCCATTAAGCTATCGGGTATTATTTCACAAAAGACATAAAATATGATGAAAAATTCAAGACTATATGGAAAAACGACGGACGGGCTCTTATGATAATAAATAAAAGTTGAAACTAATGCCTTTAGCATGAGCTTCAAAAAGCTCCATCACTTCTAATTAGTTCAATATGGCAAAGCAAGAAAGAATGCTAAAGAGTCACTGCTCTTTCATCCAGAGATGACTTCAATTCAACTTCCAGAAATACCCAAGAACTTCACAGCATTTTCAGCATTCAGATTAAATCAAAATCATCGCAAAATATTGGAAACTCTGAAAAAGATGTCTGTATCGATAGACGAATAAAAGGAAATGATACTTATTCACACGATCACTCTCGACCACTTCGTTTTGGCAGCTCTAAAGAAAATATTTTATCCTGATGAGCATGTTCTCATCATTCCTTCTAATGTGTTGCTGTTCTGTCGTTTTAGTCCCACTCTAAATGATCGCTTGTTAGTGCCCGTGATGGAATACTCGGATGCTAAACGAAGATTAATATGTCCCTTCTATTTTAATTACTTTAAGATATCTGCCAAGAAAACAGAGAGTACATAATCTGAATCCTGCAAAGTGCATCTTTTCATCCGTTCGGCCACTATGTATCTATATATATCCTTAAACTGTAGTTCTTCCTTTTCGACTTACATATAATTCTTATACACTTGTTGTTGAAACACAATTTTTTTGACGACAAAAACAAAGTTATTCAGAAAGTTTCAATAATCTGACAAACACGACAATGGCATAAGCGAAAGATGGTTGTACCATGTGAAACACGTAATGAATCGGTCTGTAAAGCATCTTGAAAAAGTTGTTTTGTGATGTCGATAAAAATAAGATGGTCTTTTTAGACACTGACTACCATTTTAATGCATAATTCATAGAAAAAGTTTTCAAAACTCTTGATTATTGTATTATCATGAACGTTTTGAAAAATGAGTCAGACAAAAACATAGAAATTGTGAGAACACAACAAATATGATGCGCAGTTCAATATCTCATGTATACAGTAAAATAGATAGGTGTAGAATATAGAAGGAACCTCATAATTAAAACCAGAGAACTGTTCTTCGATAATCTATACGTCTGCCATTGCATCTATTCAGTCGCCATCACCATGATAGTCACCGTCAACATAGTCAGCTTTTCCATGCATATCTTCGTCTGATGATCGTCATCTGTTTCTTATCACGTCTGAATATAAATATTAGTAAAAAAAAATTGTCTTCATTCCAATCGATCTGACTATTACCGCTTGATGAACTACCACAACCTATTGTATTACGTTGTCTTGCGACGATAATAAATTATGTTTAACGACTAGTGAAAAGTATTTATTTGTATACAACACATAAAATAGAAGAAAGAAAAAGGAAGAGTTCCGTGGTTGAAAAAAAGCAAGAGCATCACTATGGATAACAGGAGAAAAACTTACTCTCAATTAAACTGCCAGCATCCATAGTCAATCATTTTCTACCCTTTTCCTGCTGTCGAAAACTTTGTACTGATACGTACGTTGAAAGCAAATACATTAAAGAAACATAACCCTTTTAATGGCTTCAAATGCAGAGACACTTTTATTTTAACTGCAGGATGTCGCAATTAGTCTCTTTAGTGTGGGTGTAGATTTGACTTGAGTGGACGAAAGGGTGAAGATTTTTTTCAACTAAGCTTATATCAGTGCTCACAAGTACATGTCTAGATACACATATTTGCATACATGGCGACACTTTTTGAAGAAAAATACAATATAACAATGTCAGGTTTATTTAAAGTTATCAGTCATGAATAGATGAATCTATTGCACACGGTATTGATGTTCTATGTATTTTTGGAGTTCTTGAAGTACTTCTTTCAACTTCATTGACTATTCATCAGACTTATGAGATGACTTTATTAACTGATATATAACAAGATGTCGAATGTTCACCTCTTTCTAATGATGAAATCTACAGACAAATAAAGTTTTCACGTTCGAAAGTTATTCCAAAAGCAATCGATGTTCTATTACTCTTGAAATAGATAATAGTGAGTAGTTTTTAAATCTTTTTTCAGACAAGTCGACAAACTCTCGATCTCTTCATTGATGACATAGTTTCAAAGTGTTATTTGTCGAATGCAATATAAATGATGAGCTCCCTTTTCATTCCAAGCAGCCAGAACAGCTGAAAAGAGTATGTTTCAACAAAGAATAATTCGTGTACTGCTCATAGGTGGCCTAAAAACCACTTTTCACGCGTACGAATTTCATCGAAATTGTACACCATCGGATCGTTATACTTTCTTTTGGCATATTTGGATCAGTTTGACATGTTTCTCTAAAACGCTTGTGTGTCTTCCAGCTATGTCCAAGTTACTATTTTGACCCGTTCAATTTATTATTGTTGCATACTCTCTTTTTCCTTTCATAAACATTAGACTCTTATAGTTATATGTCATTCAAAATATTTGTTCAATATGTTCTAGTATAAAAAGCTGGAGATTTATGCCATTTCCTATCACAAAAACCAAAAACAATGGTCGATAACAGTGTGACGTTTTGGTAGTTTGTGAGTTGGCAATCTCATGAGTTATTGATGAGTATTTTGAAATAGATGTTTTGATCTTCTTGTTTAAGATGACTAATTCCACAGTGATATGAATAGTCTCATAAGCTGCAAAATCTACGCCTTGATATTTAGTTATTCTAGAAAAGTCAAAAGAAAGAAGTTTTTTATTATGTTAAATCGCCTCTGATTATTTATTTTGATTTTTCAAGCGATGTACGTTTGCAAACTATTGATGACTATAAAAATAAAAACGAATAGCATCTCGTGATTCAGCACGGTTACAGACTCCGCTATTGGCTAATTAGAGAATATCTCGATACAAGAAAATCTATTTCGAAGCTGACTCTAAATTTTCTCAAGAAAAATCATTAATCTAGCAGGATTCCATTTCTAGAGCAGTGTTGTTTGCAAGAAGAAGTTGCAGAAAGGTGAATTAAACACTTGTTGCGCTATATTATAGTGAGCTCCATAAAATTTTGAGAGTGAGTGGGTCATCAGTACGGATGAAAATGTGAGTGAATGTAAATGATAGCATTATATTCATCTTTAGCTCGTTACTCATCCGCCGTCATCGTCACTCTCCACCTAGCTTTAACAAAGTCAGCAACGATTCTAGAAAAAGCTAAGATTGTTTTCATCATCAAAAAGTTACTTTTTTCAAAAGTAAGGGTGGATGGATATGTGTAGTAAACGACGATCTCTCTAATTTCATTCCCACACACACGTCAAAAGCACTTTCAATGTCTCTCAATCTTGAGTTGTGATTAACCTTGTCTATTCTTCGTCATTATAACAGCCAATCCATCGAGGATTACAGAATGGAATACATGTAATGTATTTAAATGAAAAATTTACTGCACGCATCTCATATTACAAATCTTTTCAATTATCAAAAGCTCCTCTGTTCTTGATTCAATCATTGCCATAGATGCATATATATATATATTGAAATATGGCATCACATCAATATATAGAGAGAAAATGATGATGACGGTTAGTTTTAATAAATTTTTGAATGCATTTGTGATTATCATATGCTTTGTCGAAATGAGTGCATCAGATATAAATGTTACTGTGTCAGGTATATCTTCTGGTGCCGCTATGGCTGTTCAATTCCATATGGCATACTCAAAAGAAATCAGTGGATGTGGTATTTTAGCTGGTTCACCCTATCTATGTGCTGGCAACTTGACAGGAGTTACTAAATGTATGCAGGGTCCAGTTCAAAATATTTCTGCCCTTCGTATTCTATTGAAACTTGAATCTTATGAATCAGCTGGAAACATTGATAGTCTTTCAAACATTGAAAATGATTCAGTGTATATCTTTTCTGGTACAAAAGATTTAGTAACGCTTCCTAGTATCGTCAAGTTAAATGAGAAAATTTATTCGGTATTGGGTGCTAATATCAAGACTAACTATGAGTTGCCAGCAGCACATGGTTTTCCAACAGATAACTTCGGTGAAAGTTGCGATGTGTTAAATATAAAGAATTTTATCAATAATTGGTCAGTTAGAAACGTTTAACAGCTATATTTTATTCTTAGTCAAGTTTTTTCTCTTTTCTAGTGGTTTTAATATGGCTTATGATGTTTTGAATCATCTCCATGGTGGTCAGCTTATCGCACCCAAATCAAACTCTGCAACTCCTCTTGTCGGACAAATGCTTGTATTTCGGCAAGCAAATTTCCAGAATCCTCCTCCATCTTTGGCTGTAGGTGATATTTCGAGTATTTCTGTTTTAAAATGGATATCAGATACAATGTCTTTCTACAATCCAACCAAATGGGGTTGGCCAACGTCAGGTCTCTTCAATTTGACAATGCCTACTATCACAGTACCTTTTGAAGGACAACAAGTTAACACACGTAGTTCTTCAATCGGCCTTGATGAACATGGTTTCGTGTACTTTTCATCCGCTTGCAGCAAAGGTCAAAAGTGCTCGATCCATGTTGCTCTGCATGGATGTCGACAAGGTGCTGATTCATATTTGTGAAATTTGTTTTTTCTTGAACATTTTAATTGTTCTTTTCTTACAGGAAAATGGTTTATAGGTGATACATTCATAACTAAGACGGGCTATTTGGAAGTTGCCGAACTCAACAATTTAATTGTGCTATTTCCTCAAGTCACTCCAACAGCAACTATCCCAATGAATCCAATGGGTTGTTGGGATTGGTGGGGCGCCAACACACCAAATTATGCAATCAAAACTGCTCCACAAATGTTGAGTATAAAACAAATGATCGAGACTGTACGTATGATCAATAGAGCTATAGCTGCCTCTGTTCAGTAATAAATGACTTTTGTCTAACATCAATGACGCTTCAAATAAATGAATTTTACTGAACTCTTTGTTCTATGTTCAAATGCCATGGATAAGAATTTATTTGTTTAACTTCTTGAAAACTTCATAGAAATAACTATGTTGATGCAATTCAAATACCAATTTATATAGGACAACGTTTTAAACGTAGAGTGATACATTGAAATTTTCATCACTTAAATTGTCGGTCTTCTATTCAAACATTATCAGATAAACCCAAAAAAATACAAATCATCAGAAAACACACATATTGTCCGTAACTAGCATGGCTAATAGCCAATCCGATAATAGTACACGAGTCTCCGAACAGTTCTATATGTATAGTAAGAATAATAGGTTGATTTTGACAGGAATAGTAATGCCAATGATAGTTCAGTGAATGGAAACTTTTCTATTCGATTGTGCTGTCACCGATTGGTTTACTCATGAGAAACTCTCAATTATAATATCAGTTTCAAGTATTGCGAATACTAGCTAAAATGAATATAGGAGGCGAAGAGAACAGTGTTCCGAGAGAGTTTCAATGCGTTTGAGATCGATGCAAAGCTATTCAGTTATGTTACTTTGTTACTAAGGGACAAATAAAAAATTTTTAGTTTATTTTCCTCGTGCAGATCAGGAAATGACTGTGGAGGGAACAAGCAATACACCTAGATCCTTCTCTGGTTTGACAGTCCATTAAAGCTTTTTCAGTATGGTTTGTTTTTCTGAGTGAGACAAAATGTTGTCAACATTGCTGATGACTTCAGAATTCGGTTAACTGAAGTCGATGTGAAAATCAGAAATAAGATAGGAATAGTTTTTATCGACCATAGCGTATACACCAATGATGAAGTCATTAAAGCATTGAATAGATCACCTATCAGCTACATCTTGGTCATTAATAATTTTATTTCTTAGATTTAATAAATACATTCTCAGTAAAAAGTGCCTGTGAATGATTGAAAAAAGCTATCTATAGAAGTTTGTACAAACCTATGCAAGTTGTTGTAGATGGATTGAATATTCTACTCTTACTATTATCCTTTTCAAAAAACAATAGGCGTGGCTGTTTTTTGAATAACTCGAAAACGCATACAGCTAGAGACCTGCGGTTTTCACCAATCGAAAGAGGAGATAAGGGGATGTCTTTTTCTCTAACATTGTATGAGACGAAATCATTTTAAAATTAGTGATTTCTGCAAAGCATCGAAAAAATGTGTAAAAACGATCTGTCATTCAGATGAAATTTTGACAAAAAGTAAGAAATTTGCTTAAAAATTACAAGAAATCCACAGTTTTCGTGCGAGTAAACAGATGATTTTAATTGCTCAACGTTAGAATATGAGAAGATAATCATTCGAATTATATCTTGAACTACGGATCTGAAGCTTCTCTATCTAGATCACATGTCAAAACCAAAATTTCATCGGAATAGCAGATCGTTTTCATGCACTTTTCGTAATGTTTTGCGGAAATCACTGATTTTACAATGATTTCGTCTCATACAATACTAGAGAAAAAGACGTCCCCTTGTCTCCTTTTTCGATTGGTGAAAACCGCAGGTCTCTAGCTGTTTGCGTTCTCGAGTTATTCAAAAAACAGCCACGCCTATTGTTTTTTGAAAAGGGTAATAATTCATGCTCTTGTTTGATAATGAAAATTGTAATTAATGTTCTTATTAAAATTGTTTTGGATTCCTCAAGTTTTTACAACTTGACCATTTTAGTCTTGACAGACTCTGTTTTATATGTGCTCGTAAAATTAAATATAAATAGGAGGCAACAATAAATAAACAACTGCATGTTCAAAAAACGTCTAGAAGAATTGCATTGATTTCTGTATAGGTATATGATCTGACGAATTTTAATATTTAAATTTAGAAAACAACGAGAAAATATTAACTTAAAGAAAGATTATTCTTGAATAATACGATGAATGTATCACAATTTCAGATCTAAGAACGACTTTATTTTTATATGCCGAAAAAATTGCAACGACAATAAACAAACTAAATGAAAATTATGATGGAATTTGAACTTTTGCTTGACGAACAAGTTGAGCGAATGTTGATTGTGGATTTTCAAGTAGATTGCTAGGTGTATCAAATTCAATTATTCGACCATTATCCATCACAAGAACTCGATCAGAGTCAACAATTGTTTGAACACGATGAGCAATTGTTATCACAGTTACATCTGAACAAGTATCACGAATTGATGCTTGAATAAGACGATCAGTTTCCATATCAATATTAGCTGTTGCTTCGTCCAAACATAAAATCTATTAAGATATTTAAATATTTACAAAATAAATCCGATTATATATATTTACTTTAGCTTTACGAAGGAGTGCTCGAGCAAGACAAAAAAGCTTTTAATAAAAAAAAAATTGATTTTTTTTGATTAACTTTTATTTAATATATTCCTACTTGTTTTTGACCAACAGAGAAATTGCGACCACGTTCAACAATTATTGAATCAAGACCATTTCCTAAACGTCAAATAAGTATAAATAGCAAAAACAAAATTTTTCATAATCTTACCTAAATTTTCTACTAAATCACGAAGATGACATTTTTCTAATGCCATATGAATTTCTTCATCTGTATGACGTTGATATGGATCAAGATTTTCTCGAATAGTTCCACTGAATAAAAATGGATCTTGTGGAATGATTGCTAAACTTTGTCTACAAACAAAAAAATACTGTATCCTTAAGAAAGAATTCATTTTTATTACCGAAGTATTCGACGTTGAATAGTTGTCGTATCTACATTATCAATTAAAATTTGTCCTTCAGATAAATTCACTGTACGAAATAAAGTTGCCAATAAACTACTTTTACCCGAACCTTTTCAAAAAAAGACATAACGATCGTATCTTGTTTTTTTTTTTTGAAACATCGAAACCTGTCTAACCTGTTCGTCCAACAATTCCAATTTTTTCATTAGATTTGATTTGAAATGTTATATTATCAAGTGCTGGTTTTTGCTCAACATTATATTTCATCGTAACATGTCGATATTCAATCATCGCTCCTTTTTGTTCTCGATCTTCATTTAAAATGACAAATTGTTCTTCATTTTCGTCTTCTTTTGGTAACTCATCAATATATGCAGTAACACGTTCAACACCAACCATCTCTTTTTCAGTTTCTGTAAAACTTGAAATTAATCCATTAAGAAGACCAGTAACTGATAAAATATATGATAAAGAAAGTCCAACTAATGCTGGATTTGATCCATGTATAGTATAAACATGTTCAATAACACCAATTAATGATATGCCAGCAACCATGACAATACCAATTAGTTGAAGACGAAAACCAAGCCATGAACCAGCAACAAGAGATGAAAATTGTGCACGAATACTATTTGATACTAAGAAAAAATTATGTTCAACAAATCGTGTTACATGACGAAATGCACGAATTGTTGATAAACCAGATATAGTTTCGCCAAAATGTGCATAAACAGGTGATAAAGTCACCGATGATATACGCTTTATTTCACGTGATGTCCAACGATAATAATTCTAAAAGGAAAAATTTTATGATGTAAATAAAATCTCGTATTCTTTTCTAACCTGAATGAAATAATAAAATATTGCCAATGGAACAAGAACAATTAGAAATTTAGGTAAACCATAACAACATAATACAAGTGTACCTAATAATGAGAATATATTAGCTAAAAGTATATTCATAATAAATGGTAATGAATCATCAACACTCCATGTATCACTTGAAAATCGATTTAATATTCTTCCACTCGGTGTTGTATCAAAAAATGATATTGAACATTGTAAAAGACTATTAAGTAATGATTTATGTAATTTTCTAGCTGCTTCAATACCACCATAAGCAAATGTAAAGGCACGAATTAGTGTAAAGAAAGAATTTGCAATAGCCAAACCAACATAAATAGTAAAAAAACTTTTAAAATCTTGATCAGCTGATTGTGTTGCAAAACCAAATATTGGTCGAGCATCGAGAATGGTCACACTAAAAAATAAAATTGATTAATTTATATGAAGTAATCAAACAACATAGGTAATAAATATTAAAGCGTAAAGAAATTAAATCGAACAATTTTAGTCGTGTTTTTACAACTTCAATGTGGTGACAACATTAATTATAGATTTCGAATAATTAATAGACATACTTGACAGCAAAAGATTTGCTGAATTTACTAAAGTAAGAAGATTTTTTCTGCTTATTTACGATATAAAATTTCATAAGAGTATTGATCAAATGCTTAAAGTTAAACAAAAAGCACTGAAAAAGTCCTAAACTTACACACTAGGATTGAGAAATTTAAACGATGTTCGACCAGTAATATTTGTCATATTAATCACAGATAATTGATGACTTGTCCAATATGATAGCCACCAATCAAACACATTTCGAGAAGCTATTATTTAAATATGATAAGAAAGATACGATATCTAGGTTGTTATTCATACAAACCTTGCATAAGAAAAACTGAAAATACAACTGAAAATGAAAGACAAATACCAACAGCAATAAAATATCGTTTCCAAATAGTAAATTTGACCGTTCCTAAATGAATATTATACTTATTTTTATTTAAAATTACTCTGTCGTTTATTTTTTTTACCAGTACATCTTTGTTCTGCTTCGTTTTGTAGAGCAGTTTCTGTTTGTATAACTTGTTCTTCAATATCTACTAATGATTTATGCGTTGTTGCAAGGCTCGTTTGTGATGATTGATTACTTGATAAAAGTAAATTTTCCGCTGATGAAAGAACTTCATTTGGTTTTCCTTTTATTATTAATAAATTTAATTATAAAGTGAAAAGTACAGAGTGACCCAAAAATAAGAGAACCCAGAGTTTTTTTCGATTCCTTCTTTGTTCATTGACAGAATAGTCTCATATTTACACTACAAACACTAGACGATATTAGTCAAAAATATAGCATATGCTGAGCCTTTCGATACAGTAATTTATTCGAAAGTGTACAAATAAATCTTACTGCTCGTCTGTGACTGCAAGAGAACTTCAATGATCTTCGAACTTCATTAAATCTCTATACTTTTGTCTGATTATTCTAATCTATAAAAATCGCATTTAATGATTTTTTTGACCTTTTTTGGACTAAATCAATACACAACCTAATGAAATCCGATTCATTACACAAAGGAAGAATCCAAGAAATTTTGAGAAGACTGACAGATGGAAACAAGTTATTAACAATTTTTGTGGTGATTTATTTAACATTTTCTAGGGTTAACTGTTCAAATATAGGTTGCTATCTATGGAATCAAAAAAACACCGGAAAAAATAAAATCATAGAGAAAAATCCTTGTTTTCTAATTTTTATTGTTTATTTTTGAGAACTTGTTGATGACTTGTTCGATAGCAAAATAAGTAGAGGCAAATACATACATAATATGTAGTCTGTTCAGATAATTTTCACTTATGATACTTGGAAGGAATGATTTTTATCAACTTTAATATCGAAAAACTTTCACGTGTCTGTAGCTGTTGTCACCAGTCATGTTGAATAAACTTCAAAAGGAGCTTTGATATTGGGAAAGAAAATACCACTGCATCGAACATGATCTAGAGCATGAATTACGTAGATCTTTTTACTGAATATCATACTCATTAGGCATAAACAGAACAAGCGCAAATGAACCATTAATATGATCGTTGGTTATTTCAATATATTAAACTCTAAAAAATATTCATCAGTAGTGTGACAAGAATAGAAGTTATATTCAACAAGAGACAGAATATTTAATACATGTGATAATACTGTGTAGAGCATATACGTATATATGTAAATAAATTATTGTGCTTCTCTGGAATCGTTCATTTCAGAATATAAGCACCATGAATGTGAAAATAATGAGAGCTACACACGATTTACTACTGTAAATCTCATAGAAATACAAAAGTACTTAAGGTATTACATAGACAAATTCAAAGTAGGAGGCATCCACCGTTCCTGCTTCTACATGTCACAGATTGGAATCAATAAATAAAACTATGGAAATCAAATGGAGTTCGAAGAATATTCATTTTCTCATTCAATCACAGACGAATATTAAGAAAGGTTTCTACGCTTTTGAATAAATGATTGCATCCAAAGGCTGATCATATGCGATATATTTTTTGCTACTATTACCTAGTATATGTGGCATAAATATGAGATCTAACTGTAACGATTTACAAAGAAGAAATGATAAAAATATGCTGTATTCTCTTAATTTTGAACCACCCTATATTTCTAGACAAAATAGAAAACCTGTTCGAATAATTCGTCCATTATCTATTAAAATAATATAATCAGCTTTTTCCATAAATTGGATTTGATGAGTACATAATAAACGTGTTTTGTATTTAAGAATACCACGAATACAATGAGAAAATAAATGACGAGCAACATGAACATCAACAGCAGATAAAGGATCATCTAATAAATATATGTCTTTATCCTACAAATAAGATAATTATATGACTTATTTATTGATAATATTATTCATTTACTTGATAGACAGCTCGAGCTAATGAAAGACGAGCTTTTTGACCACCTATTTAAGTTCACAAGTATTTTAAAAATCTAACGACAAGAAAAAGGATCATACCGGAAAGTGTAACACCGTTTTCACCGATCAATGTATGATCACCAGCTGGACCCAAACTCTACATATAAAAAGTTTTATAAGAATAACATTTATATGATGTATATGACATCTATACTTTAATATCATTTTCAAGAGCACATGCATCAATAACTTTTCTATACCATTGTTCATTATATGTTTTACCGAAAAGAATATTATCTCGAAGTGACATTTGTTGAATCCATGATTCTTGACTATGAACAATTGAATATAAAGAAAATTAAACATAAATAATTTAAAATGATATCAAACCTAACATAACCAAAACCATTTTCAATACCACGATGAACATTAACTGAACCATTTAGTTTCTTTAATTCAGCAAGAAGACAATTGAGTAATGTAGTTTTTCCACCTATAAGTTACATTGATTATATACAGTAAAATAAATTCAATCTTACTTCCAACTCGACCAAGAATAAGTACAAGACTACCACGTACAATTGTCAAATCAACATCTTTTAATGATATATCATTAGATTCTATATTGACTGCAGGATTCCACGAAAAATTTGCTTGATTAATGCGAATGTCTAATGATGGATGATCTAATGGTTAGAGAAAAACAATTTAAAAAAATTTTTTTATTATGAAACAAAAAAAAAAGAAAAGAACATTTCATATACCCAAAGGTACATATGGATCAATCGGTACATTTTCATAATATTCTTCAAGATAAGTTGGTTCAATATTAATAAAACGCTGAACACGTTTTAATGAAACATGTGCTTCAACTAATCCATTAATTACCCATGGAAATGAATTTAATGGAGAAATAAGTAAAGCAAATAAAGCCAAACTTGTAAATACCTAAAATATAGTTCAGCATTAGAAAATCTTTATCAAAGTTATAATAAAATTCCATGAACTAAATGTGTAAGATTCTCTTCTGTTTGTTGATTTGATTTTGATATTTGTTCTTAACTTAGTTCACCAATGACTAGTACTATATTTCAGTAGATGAGAGCTGCCAATGTTATATTGTTAATAGAAAGATAGAGAACGAAAGACATGGATCATATAAGTTACCAAAAATAAAAATATCGATCATGTACGGTGATATATTTGCTCGAATTGTTAAATAATCGGTTCAATATTTCTTACTTGAATTAAAATACTCGAGAGTGAGTGAAACTTCGATGGTAAAGCCTTGACTATAATACAAGATTCTAGCAAAGACAAAGAATTACGACTTCAATTTTTGTATTTTCCTCAAAAAAAATAGCTTGTAACACTAAATATGTTTCTAGTTAATCTTTGAATTTTGATCACGTGTAATTGAACACGATGTTAAAGGAGTGTTGAAGTTTAATGATAAAAATTAGAAGCTAACCCTTGCCCTTCCCTCTCCCTTACAATCGCGACAGACACGTGAGAAACTGTCTATCACATACATGACAGCCATGTTAGCAAATACTCGTCACAGACGTGACAGACATCATTAAGAAACCATCATAGACAGTAACAAACGTCATGAAAGGGTTAACACCGACCGTGACAAATATAACTGCGAGATCAAGGTCCAGCGCGAGATTAATATAATAGTTGCCCTTAACTTTTCTTTCATATTCACTGTAATATATTACGATTAATATCTTTCATCATTGGCATGCATTAACAGTAGATAGAAAGTCATAAACCGAAATATATCTTGATTAATCTCCTCTTTTTAAAATAGCAGCAGCTTCATTGTGTTTCATATTTTCATCCCATAGAGATTGTAGTGACAACTTTCGTACAAATGTATAAATTTGTTGAGTCAACACAATCATTCATTGAACAGTACATAGAAACATTTGATTTCTATTGTGTAACGAAAATGTTACAAATGCAACAGACACTGCTGCTGATATCTTATGAAAATTGACTTTGATTTTGTATTCTATAATAATTTACATTCTTTCCATTTTTAAACTTTCCACGTATAAAAGAACATCTATTTAATTATCAATATGATTAATCGATTGCATTTTTTTAATTATTTTCAAAAGATTCATATGAAAGTTTAGAATCATGAAGTAGAAGAATTCTTCTTTTTCTAAAAAACAAAATGAATCAAACCTTTGCGGGTGTTAATTGATTTCCAAAAAGCGTATATGTCGTAAATGTTAAGACAGATATGAGAACTGGTGTTGTTGCCCAAAAATAAACACAAAAAGCATCTAAATATTTTCTTCCACGTAATGCGTGTAATTCTTTTTGTCGAATATTATTCATTCGATCAATAAAATAATTTTCGTATGTATTCATTTTTATTGAACGTATACCATATATAATCTCAGAAACAAGTTTAACACGTTCATCTTTATATAACATCATATCTGTACTTAACTTGGCTATTTTCGATGCTATAACTTTATTTATTGGTATAAGTATTATTGCAAAAGCAAGACCAGTTAAAAATGTTAAGCCAATTTGTTGATATAATAAATAAAGAACAATAGCTATTTGAGCTGGTAATGACCAAAATGCATGAAACGATTGAAAAAAATTTACAATACGATCCGAATCTGTTGACATAAAATTAACGATTTCACCCATATTAAATCTATTCATTTCACATATATTTAATTGTGTTGTTTTAGTGTAAATACGTGTATATAAATACATTTTAGAACGAAGTCCTAAAAGATTGATACGATAAGTAAAATGTGTATTTAGAAATGATGCTAAAGCTACAGTTCCAATAAGAATACATGAAAGAAAAAGACCACGACGTAAATCGCGATTTTGTTGTTCAGTTCCTCTTGATTCTTCCATATAAGTAATTAATTTATTAAGAAAAATAGGTCCACCAAAAGCAAGACCATCGCCAAGAATTTTTAGAATACCAAGTAGAAAAAAAGATCGACCAAAAATTTTTATAAGCGAACGAGAAAGTTGACGATGATGTTGAAGTGTTGAACATGATGAAAAAATTATAGAAGGTAATGAACAAAGATCATTTAAATCAATAATTAATGAATTATAACCACGTTTCATCAATGGATTAAACCAAGAAAATGTAAATAATTGTGTTATAGTTGCTAAATCTTCATTAATTATATCTGTTGCTTCTTGTGATGATGGAAGGAAAGGACATCTTGGTTGTATGATAGCTGTAACTGGCAACAAACGTCGATTTTCATTAGGTTCAGGGTCTGTATCATTATATCAAAATTAATCAATAAAATAACTTGAATTAAAATCTCTACTTACTTTCTGTTGCTACTTGTTGATCACATTTATGACAACATATTAATAAAAGACCAAAAGATATTAAAAATAAACATAATTGTCTGATACTAACATAAATACTTTCAATTAATGTTAAATGTTTGATAACAAGACGATAAATATCAAAATTTTGCACAAGAAAGAATATTATCATCCAAATAATGTAAGTCACTGGACGTTTATTATGGTAAAGATTACTGTTTAAATTCAAATAACAAATAAATAAATATGCTACGAGACTAACTAACATATTAATGGCATCAATCCATTGAATTTTTGTTGTATTAACAAAAAAACAGGTATAAAAATAAAATGAACATGTCATAATCAAAGCTAAGCTTGATGCAAGACGAATCAATGTAAGAGGAAATGTCCACAAACGATATGAACATTTCAAACGTTGACCAATGTTATAGGATACCAGAATGAGAGTAATCACATGAAGTACGAATTCAAGAAGATATTTACGAAAACAAGGTGACAGATCTTGATTAACCCAAATCTTTGATAAAGAATCACTGCTATCGTTACAAATCAACGATAGGAAATCCGATACTTCCATCTAGAAAAATTTTCAAAAATAAAGTTTTATCTTTTTTTTTTTCTTTTTGTAAGGTGTGCGCAATTCAGAATAACAGTAATTTTTTTACGATATTTATGCATAGTCGGATAGAACCTAAGTCTTATTTAGACAACTTTACTTATTTAGCTTTACACATGGTTTTTGTCAAAAAATTTTTCAGTAATCAAAATTCCAAAAACACCTCATTTTGCTGTTTTTAAGCGGATAGATCAGCATTTAAATTCTTTTTTTTCGTTGTTTTGAACTTTCGACAGTGCTTTTGACCTATTTACTACATTAATTTGTTTATAAACATGTGTGTTAACATACATTGCTATAGACAAAATTAATGTAGCAAAACCAGGTGTTTTTGTAGATTAGATTGCCAAAAAAAGCTTTTCGGCACAAATCATTTATAAAACTAAGCAGGTACATTCTCGTAGATAAGACGTTATACTATATCCAACCATCCAAAAATAGTACAAAAAAAAATGTACTGTAATTTTGTAATGTGCGCAGCTGATCAAAACAAAACAAAGCAAAGCAAAGCAAAATACAAAGATTAACAAAACACAATAAAAATATTAAAAAAAATCAAACTAAGTATCTGTTATACTCGTTGATATCTCTTTTTTCTTATTCTTCAGTTTGTTATCTTCATCAATTAAATATTGCATAAGTTCCGTTAAATTTTTAAATTCAGTTCTTCCTTCATCTTCCTTAGTATTTTTGCTTTTTATCGATGGTAACCATGAACCAGTCCACATTCGAAATTCTGCAAATGTTTTTGGTTTTCCACTAATTAACCATAAAAAGCCAGTTAATGAAAGAACACCAGTTAAACTATAAATTGAAGCACGACGTAAAGCTTTTGTAGCTAAACGATGACCATCATCAAATAATATGCTTGCATTTGCTTTTTTAGTAAGCTTAGCTGTTGTTTCACGTTTTTTTGTTCGACCTAGCGCAAAACCAAAACCACCTAATAAGCCACATGCTGTTATAAAAGCAAAATAAACGCTGGGCAAAAGACGATTGAATATAAAAGTATTACGAGCTTCTCGAGAAGCTTCTTTTTCTGATTTGATTGCATCACTAAAAGTAAGATAAAAGATAATAGTAACTCATTTTTTTTTCGTATCAATGAGAAAAGGTTATTTTTGTTTCGTTTTTTTTTTGCTTTTGTGTGCAACTATTCAGAGCAATAGAAGAATAGGCGATTGAATATTAATTGTGTCATGCATATTGCAATGAAAAAAACAAAATTGCTTTTATTTTTTTTTTACACACACAAAGAGAAGAGCGACAACTAACGGATACAACACGCAACATGAGAAAGAGAGAGAAAAACAGTCAAATTTGCATGGTTCACTAGGGAGCAGCTCCATGTTCAAGTAATACTTCGTGTCCATCATTTGTAATATGTGTTGAAGCGTTTGGATCATCAGCCAATATGATTAAGTCGGCTATTTCACCTTTTTCATAGGGTATTTCCAAGAAACTATCACTTTTTTTCAATGATGGTGATCGAGCAGGTGACAGATCTTTGCCATGAGTATTAGTAGAAGTAAGAATTGATAAAGTTTCTTCATGATCTGGTATTGATGATTGACGATGTAAAGCACTGCAAGAAAGATCTGTAGAATGATTATTCAGAATGATTGATGATGGATCAGCATCAATTGAAAAACGTTTAGCAATTGGACCTGGCAGATAAGGGCGGTCAAAACTTGTTTGTATTGAAAGAAGTTTTTTTAATTTTCTTGTTGTTGTTCCACGTGTTGGAGGAATGATATCAGATGAAAGTACTGAAGACGTTGAAGAAGTATAATTATCACTTGTTTCACTAGGTGATTTTTCTTCAGGTATGATTAATTTAGGTGTTGTAGATGAAGAAGGCGATGCCATTAAAATAATTCCTCTACAAAATGTAAGAAGGAAAATTTGCCAATTAATATAAATATTTTGATTGTTCCACTTGATTCAATTGATTTGCTTCTTTTTATAGACAAGAAAACAATTATTCAAATATATTTCACGTACTTCTTTGATATGCGTAAGTGCAAAATAAACATCTATTGGGAAACTACACCAATGTCATAACGTGCTACTGCTTTGATGCTACCTATTCAGCAGTCTATTTTTTATGCGGATATTAAATAGACCAGAAAAATGAGAAAAAAAAACAGCTTTCACCATGAGGGAGAAGAGCAAGCGACAATATTACAATTCTCTTTAACTAGTATGTGTGCTTGGATGTGCGCGTCATAGAGAACATAAAGAAAAAGATAGAAGAGTGGAGGCCGATGACGACAATATCAGAGTGCGAAAAAAGAGAGAAAGAAAGAACGAGGAGAGTAAGAGAAAATAATACAATAATGATAATAAGAACACATATTCGTCGTATTAACAAAAAAATCATCGTATGTTTCTTCTTCGTTTTTTTTTTGATGATGACGACAACAACATCATAGAGCAGAATAAAAAAAAAAAAAAAGAAACATAAGAAAATATGTAGATTGATAATATTGATTAGTAAATAATCAAACCCAAAGAGTAACATATGTAAGATCATTCAATCATTAAAGTTTGCAAAGATGCCGATAAAAATCATTATAAATCAAATTGAATAATATACGAAGACACTATTTCTTCATCTTCTTCTTTTTCGTTTTACTCTCGACAAATAATAATAATAAACATAAGACGAAGAATAACAATCCATGAGAATAACAAGAAAAAAAACTAATCGATTGATTTATTTTATAAAAATAACCGATAAACTGTGATGAACATAGTGAAATTCATAGAATTATCGCGTAAGATATAGAAAGAGAAAAAAGAACTGTAAGACACATTATATATAAAACAACTACTGTTTTTTCCTAGAGGAATTAATAATAATCATAAATGATAAATAAATATATCTCAAGGTATGCTTACCTATTTATTGCATTCATAATTTTACAATAAATTAATGTGATGAACACAAAAAGGACAATGAATAAATTAGTAAATATCTAAAATTCACAACCGTTGAATAAGGAAACGGAAAACCTTTGTTTTTTTTCTTCATAGCCCTGAATTTGCTTTAGATGATTCATCTTTATATTGGATTGGTTACTTTCAGATACCGTTGAGAAAAATAGTAACAAGTAATAGACAGAGGCTTTACACAACAACGAACGAAATGTGATATGAAAATGGCGATTTAGATTAAAAAATTTATTATAGCACATCAGAAAAGGATGTCCCGTTGTTTGCCTTATCGTGTTGAATGTACAGAAAAATGCCTTCAAGCTCAAAATGATGCACTTAATTCGACATTTTTTATTCTAAGACAAACAGGTCCAACAGCTTTTGTTATCAAAGAAGATGATGAACGAATATTTAAAGTATTTCTTCATATTAGATTAAAGTTCAATGAATATACATATATATATATATATATAAATACGTGTTCATTAGGTATTTTTAGGTGATCCACATAAATGCACGTGTTCTAAATTTCAACGTGATCATGAACTATGCAAACATATATGTTGGCTACTTTTAAAACGATTCCGTGTTCCAAGAACTAATCCGAGTAAATATTTATATTAGGAAAAAATGAACTCCGTAGTATATATATATATATATGTATTTAGTGCTATGGCAGCAAGGTCTTGTCGAACGAGAAATTAATGAACTTCTTCGTGAATTAACACGAGAGAATGATGAAAAAAATAAATCAAATTCTAATTATAAAATAAAAGTAAAAATACAAATCTATTTTACTTTGGCATAACATAATTGTTAAGTTTTGTAATGAAAGAATTAGGTTAATTGATGGACTCTTTTTAGAGTAGGTTAGATAGATATGTTTGAGTTAAAACAGTTTCTATTCAACTCATATCGTAAACAATATTCTATATAGTCTCTTTCCTTAATTTGATTGTCATATATATTCAAGATTAATTGAAAATTCTCGATAACTATTGCTCATATCAAAAGAGAATAATGATAAATATTTTTAAAAGAAAATATTCAAAGAACAAGGTGAATTTTTGACTGTAAGAGAGAGGTGATAAAGATGAATTAAATTCTTCTGTCAACAATTAGAAGAATTCTTCATTGAAGTTCAACAAAACTATGTAAGATTCGCACTTTTAGCTTTAGTTTAACTAGCAGTTATAGACCTTATACTGCAAAGCTTCAGTTGATTTATCGTAAAAGATCTTATTTATTGACTGATTTAACTCTTTGATTTCAAAGCCTAACAGCTCAAGTCGAAATATCCTAAAGAGACCTTTCTTTTCAATATTTGTTATGTGCTGATATAGATGCCGCTGATAACAGCATTGCATCTTTAAATTAATTCTAAGTGCAAGAATCATGATCGCTATTCATTTTCGAAATATACCATGTATACAATATTTTTTTTATTTATTTGTGTTGAGAATAAGTCCGAGGTCAAAGGATTGCAAATCTGTCAGAAAAATCTATATTTAGGCATAAATGCTGTTGTCTTTACTCAACTGTGCATAACTCTTCAACTTTTCTAAACTAAAATATCTCGTTTTATTATAGGATGAAGATGAAAATGATGCTGATAGTAACGTTGAACAACGTCCTATTAGTGAAAATGACGTATGTCCTATATGTCAAGAAGAATTTCTTAGTAAAAAGTTGCCTATTACTTATTGTCGGTTAGTGAAAAATGTCAAATTAACTGTCTAGTATTGATAGAATAAGTATTGTTTTTAGACATGGTTGTGGTAATAATGTTCATGTTAAGTGTATGAAAATATGGCTTGATCACCAGGTATCAATAGGTGAAAAAGCAATTAAATGTCCATTATGTCGAGAAACATTTGGTACATCTGAACAACTCAAACAAGAATTTCAGTAGGAAAATTCTGTTGTGTAATAAACAGACTTATATAAACTAATTTCTTCTAGAACAATTGGTGCTGAACGAGCTGAAAAAGCATCCATACATTTAGGCTATTCATGTCATCGTTGTCATGCATGTCCAATCTCCGGCAAATGTTATAAATGTACAACATGTCAAGATTATTTTCTTTGTCAAACATGTTTTAATTTAAATGTACATAATGAACATAGTTTTGATTATCGAGAAGTAAATAAATTTCCAAAAACAAAAGAAAATTAATTAACAAATAAATTTTTTACTTAGAGATCATATCAACGTTGGAAAATAGCAATACGTGAACATCTAACAGCATTGCCAAATGCACTTCATCGAATGTTAGCAAATAGAGAAATAAATGAAAATGATTATGATATCTTGATTCAACTTGAAAAGTAATTCAACAATGAAATTATTTTTATTTTTATTTTTGTTGAATTTTTTTTCTCTTTAAGTGCTCAAAATGCTGCAGTGATGGGTATACCAGAGAACGTCGTAAAATCATTGCCGACTGAACGTATAAATGAACGTAGTCATTTATTAAAACATGGAGAACAATGTCGTTTATGTTTAAGATTGTATCAAATAGGTGAACGTGTTCGACGTTTACCATGTCGACATAAATTTCATATTGATTGCATAGGTAATTCCATAAGACAAAGAAATTTTTGTATGATAAAAAGAAATTTTGTTGTTTCTGTTCTTTAGATGGATGGCTTTTACACAGTCATTCAACTTGGTAAAAAAAACCTTATTCAATAATTTAGAAATAATAACTATGATTTCTGTTTAGTCCAATTGATGGTCAACTTGTATGGAGTATTGAAATCGATAACGAACAACGAGCAGTAAAACGGTAAATTCTTTATTCGATAATACATATATTAGCGCAACACGAACGAATATAAATGTTGGAGTATAGAGTGAAAGGCGACTGTAAGGTTTTGACTACAAAATGGGATATAGGTAATCTTGTAGAAAAAGACTCCTGTATCAAATGATGATAATTCATACACAATCAGATAGAGAGAGTCTTTCTAGAAGCCTAGATATATTCTATTTGTAGTCGAAAAATCATTAAAAAACTCATAGCTACCTTTTCATTGTACCGGCCGCTTAAGAGGCCGAAGTTTACCGTGTAAATTTTCATAAAGATTTTTACTTGCATAAATAGTTGGTACATTCCATAGTATTCAGTAGTATGCATTTTTAATAGAATATAACGTTCAGTATTGCATTCTTTTGCTGAGTACTACCGAGTGTACAGAATATTCATAAAAACAAGAGTCTTTATGAGGAATCATAAAGTAAACTTTGAACTGTTGCAAACTTCTGTTAAATTTTACGCTCCGCTTAAAAGTCCACCGAAATTCATCTAATCTGTCTCCTTATTACTAAAAGAAAATAAGTTTATTGACTAACTAGAAGACTGTAGGATAATATTAATTTTATTTTACCTGATGAATGGACGAGAGTATCGAGTATATGGACCATTGCAGCTAAAACAGAACATGTACATGTTTCATTGGACTTTCAATCTTTACAAGGATTATTTTTCTGAACAAATTCGTTTCTCATATATACATGTAAAGATTGTTGGCTTTTGAGCTTACATCCAATTAAAATTTAGTGAACAATAATAAGTTAATTAATGAAAATATAGTTACGGCATAAATGACTAATCTTATGACAGACAAATTCAAGAATTTTAGGAAAAAATGCATACCAAAAATACAATTTTGTAAGAACTTTGAGCAAGTTCCAACTCCATCAAAGTGTATTATAAAGCTAGTGTTTCGGAAAACTTCTCGTGTTTCGAAATAAAATCCTTGGTTTTGCTATCATTTCAACATTTCAAGAAAGGTATCGTACAGTTTAGAATTGCTTATGAACTTTTCATTGATTTACAAACATGCGTTTTTGTTTCAATATTCATCTTCTGTCATACCGTTAACAACAAGTAAAGTCATTTTTTTAAAAAACCTAAGAATAGTCATCAAAATACTTTCGTAAAGATTCTGTAGCTTGAAGAGTGCCCTATAAAATGTATCTTGTAATGTTCGAAAATAATGTTCGAACTTATTATGCGTTTGAATGGTAACGCCCTTAGCGAAAGCCTTTCCTTTCTTTCTGTTACGATGCAAATATTATTATTATTTATGATAACTCGTTCGAATATAAGTCAGTTGGAGCTGATTTTTTCAGAATATTTACATTAACACAACATACATTCGACATATAAAAATTAATTCTGTGAAATTTTGAAGTCCGAAAATATACGCCTTTTTATTCTACAAAATCACGTCACTAAAGAACGAAATGGTTCACGTACACTAATTCAAACAAATTAGCTAAATATATTTTTCTATTAGTAACCAGAATTCTTTCATGTTTTACATCTTCATTTCATTCCATTGATGTGAACTGCTATTTTTTCTTCTAAATTTAGTCCTTCATTGACTGCCGCTCGAAAGACAAGAAAAAGTACTCCTTCTGCGATTGACTCATCATTACTCTCTTTTGATATGAGTCTAAGAGTAATACCTTATCAAATACGAACATCGGCTACTACTGATCTTAATCAACAATTTCGACGTTCTCATAGACATGCACCACTTCGTCCATTAACTGCGTTGATACCTGTGGAATTTTCACTACCACTTGAAATTAATACTCGAAGTTTACGAAATCGACAATCTAATTTATCAATATCCGATGATGTAGAACAACGACTATTTCGGAGACAATCATTATTATCATCGCCTTCTTTAGTAAGAGAAGATATTCGAAGAATAAATACTGAAATCAATCGAAATTCGCCATTATCAACAAATATTTTTGATCATCGGCTTCGCCAACGTAGTCGCTCAAATGCCAAATAATTTTCTTTGCTCTTATTTACATTTTAATTCTTATGAAATAACTATATATTTTTATATTTTTACGAATATTCATTTATTTATATTTATTCATATTATATTATTTGTTTTTAATTCAGATAAACAATTTTGAGATTTTCAAAATCAATTATCTATTTAATTAATTTGGATCGAGTACAAAATTATCTGTAGAAAATTAGATAATGTGTTATTAAGTCTTTTGGAAGCATCGATAATAGATTTAATGTTCCTATGAAACAAGAAAACTGAGAAGATAAGCACGAAAATGTTTAGCGTCGAAAAGTTAAGCACGCAAAAGAAATGAAAGTAATATCGATGACGACTATTGAAAGATCGATGAATGTATGCATATACGGGTGTTAATCTTCTGTAGGCATGCACTAAAACCCAATAATAGGATTCCAATATTTCAAACTTATCTCATTGATAATGAGCTATATTAATAAATTGTCGTACTACACATATAGAAAGATATCTATCTTGCAGAATCAAATAGAGAATGGGCCAATGAACCGTTTGGTTTCAGTAGGAGATTGAAAGACGACTGAAAAACAAACCAAAGCCAAACTCAATAATATTCCCATAGTGCAATTTTCTACTAATGAAAAAAATGAAAGGTCATGTAATTTAGTAGATAAGAGGACTTTTCGTCAAGTAAACAAAAACGATTCGAGCGATTTGGATGCATGTCTAGTCTTCCCTTCATTCCTATGCACATTTACATCCATGAACTTCATTTTTCTGTTGTGCATGCTTAACTTGTCGGTGTGTATCGTTTACCAATCCATCAACCAGAGGTTTATTCTCGATAGGAAATTGACAATTGGTTCGTATATATTCAAACCAGTTTTCTTTTATTTTATCTATGATTTAATTTGTCTAGTTTCACATATAATGAAGGAATTAAACTGTTTAAAATTAATTCACACACACAGACACACGCACACGTACACATCAAAGATTATTTTTTCATTCTATAAATATGTGATAAATAACAAAAAAAAAAAAACAAGAACAATTAAATAACTTCATTGTTGATTATAATTCATCCTTTTTCATCGATACATTTTCTTCAATTCGTTTTTGTGTTGCAACTACATCAATACTAGCTAATGTTGATTTTGTTACAGAATCTTCTTTATCATTTTGTCCAAGAATTGGTGTATTTTCAGTATCAGATATATAATTTGGTTCACCAAAATAATGTGTTGGTGTTAAAATTGATGGATAAAATGCGTATGCTTTAAGTTTTCTATTACGAAAATGACTTTTCCAACTTTCATTTGGATGATGATCATACATGATTGGTAAATATTCATCAACAGGTAAAATTTTTTGAAGTGGATTTTCATCAACAAGCAAACGTGCACCACGTAATGAAAGTGCATAACCAACAGTCCAATGAGAATAAGATGGTTCAATAAGATATGTTTCAATTGTATTTTCATAATTTTCTTCATCAGGTCGCATAATTTTTCTTCCGAGGTATAATATATCCCAATCGAATGAACGATTTAATAAAATTTTTTCTAATTTATATTTAAAATAAACATCGAAACGAACATCGTCTTCAAGTATTAATATACCATTTGAATATTCATTTTTAATCATATCTTGCCAAATAAAATAATGTGAAAAAAAACAACCTAATTCACCATAATTCATTGGTCGTTGATTATATGGATCTTCATAATTTGGTAATAGACGAATATTAAGATTTTCTAAATATTTTTGATCAATTGTATATTTTCCATCAACAGCATCAAAAAATCGTACGGATATATTAAGTATATCAAATGTTGCTTGTAAACGTTCACGACGATCAGTACGACGTACAAGATTAATAACATAAATTTCATCTAAACCAAATTTTGTTTTTTCTTTTGATAATGGTATATTAATCAATGATGTACGTGGAATTGGTGGTAAATAAGTTTGTGATAGACCATTCAATTGATGTTCGATTAACATATGAATGTAAAATTCCTTTATAATTGTTTCATCATAAGATGTTTCAAGAAATTGTACCGGTATATAACCAAATACTTCACGATTACATACATATGAAGGTATAGAATTTTCTCTTGCAATAACATCAATAGCTAAAATTAAAAAAAAAAAAAAAAAAAGAAAGAGAAAATTAAGCAGAAGTAAAACAAAATTGACAAAAAGAAATACCAGTCTGTGGTTGAATTTTTTCATAATTTTTATTCGTTAAAAAGACATCACGTATTTGTGGATAATTAAAATTAAAAAAATAAAAATCTTTTATGCCACCATTAATAAGAAAACAACCAAGTTTTTTTCGTTCATATATTTGTTTATAATCATGAAAACCTGATATTTGTTGATCATTTAAATAAAATGTTGATGTAAACATATCTTTAGTCGAACGTAATAATGGTGTCATTAATGGTTTATCTTTAGATATTAATATTGATAAAATTTTTTCAGGTTCTAATAAAATAATCATTGAATCAAACATAGCAAGATATGTTATTTCAAGTTCAAATGAACGTTTCATGACATCATTTAAACGATTAGCTTGATCATTTTGTGTTTTTGCTGTCCATTCATGAATAATAATTGTTGTAAATATTGATTGATCAGATTTTTTCATAGCTGATACCCATTCATTTAATAATCGACTAGTTTCATTTTCAGTAATTGTATTAAATACATGATAAAGATGCAAATCTAAATAACATTGACTACATGGACAAGTTAATTGTTCAAGTTGTCGAAGAAAATAAGGTAAGACATAAGGACGATTATATATATCAACATCAACTAATAAACGTTGATCATTTGTCGAAGAAATAGTTGATGATTCATTTTCTCCGAATAAATGATATTTTCTTGCATTAACAAAAATAATTAGAAAACAGAAACATAATAACATTGAAATCAATAGATTTTTCATTTTGAAAACAAAAAAATCTGAAAAGAAAACAACAATAATAGTCTTGTTCCTTATAGAGGCATGCATATCGTCTGTTTTTCTATCATGTTTGCTATGCTTACGAACTGTTCTTTGACCGATGTTCTCTATACATTGGTAGAAAAATAGGAAGAAACGTATGACTTATGTTCGTCAATGTGCCTCTGATACCGAGATAGATATAACCGCTATGATGAAGCATACAGAAAATACTACATATGTATGTCTCTTCGTTCTTGATAAATGTGGAGAAAAGAAAAAATATGTGCAAATGAACACAAGAACATTTCTTTAGGTTGAGATAGACGATATCGTTGGGCGAATAATTTAAAAGAAAAGCACAAGAAACAGAAAAAAACGAATGACAATGAGGCACTTAAATAGGATGAATTCAAAACTCCAAAGATAGAGAACTAATTTAGATATATAATATCAATCTAGTTTACGATTTACATGTATCGGAACGAAAATATCTGGATATTTTCTTTTTTTTTTTCAAAATATTGTCATTGTTTCTATGATCACATGAGATAGAAATGGAAGTTTAGCATAGGCGAAATCGATTTTTATTTCAGTATATCCACATTATAAAGTTGTATCTTGATAAACGACATGAATCTTAAATTATTTTACAATGTCACTTTAGCATATAATTATGTTCTTTATATCATCCACAGTTACTACAAAGTTGTAATCAGTTGAGACTTCTTCAGCTCACCCAGTATGGCCAGTTTGTTAAATTTTTGTCTGGTTCGAAAAAATTTCTTGTTTTTCTTTTCAAATGTGCGCAGATTTTTTTACTATGTTCTGAAGAACAGATATCGTATTATAGTTATTAAAATATGCCAATTATATTAAAACTGTAGAGTCGTGCTTGTCTTAGTTGAGCCGGATATATGTTGACCTGAAAAATCTCGTCTCGTTTGTTCATTATTTATATGTTTTTTTTGTTTGAAATTACACACGAAATTATAATTTTCTGAGTTAGAAATTTAAATGCAACATAGTCAAGGCTAAAATATCAATCCTTACTTGCTGAAATTTGAGAAGAACGAGAAAGGATATGAGTGATATTTTGACATGGAATAGTTTTACGGTTTTGATAAAGGAACTAAACTTGCTTGTACAATGTTGAATTAGTCACAAACTAATTCATTTACTCAATCTTTTGTTTCAACCGGAAAGAATTGGTACAAATTAATGGCCTGAACTAGTTCAAGTGGTTTGTTCTGGTACTGAATTGAGCCTGTTACATCTCTGAAAAGAATATACAGGACAATGTTTCAGTTCTTTTGAATAATTATAAAGCCGTGGTACAGCATATTTTATTCATGTTGTAACTTTTATTGATGAAAACTTTATATCATAGTTCGTCTTTTATGTACAGCGATAAGATCATTATCATGATCTAGATTGTATTATGTTAATTGTAAAGACATGTTTTACTAGATATGAAATATTTAATTTATTTAAAAATTGACTTTTTGATACTGTCTTCAAAGAGTACTGCATTCGAATCAGAAGCAACATATGATTATAATGAAATGCCCTTTGTTGCTCAAACGAATCACAGTTTTAGTTAATGCAATGACGATAAAAGCATTTTAGACCTAGACTAAGGATAGGTCTCGTCTAAGAATTACTAAGAAGCAAATTTTATTCTATTTTAATAAAAAGTGTGAAATTCCTCCACCCCCTCCCCCTTTTCCTCGCAACAAAATTCATCTTTGCTGAAAAATATTATAAATATGTTGGTACATGTTGACTGTTTGATGATTTTAATATCAAGAATATGAAATTTTTATGCGAATTTTCTGACTAATATGGCTTTAGTGTTTTACTTCTTAGAAAATTATATTGAACTTAATATCTATTCCTTCGTCAAATAACATTAGTTTTCAATAACAATTATCGATCCTGTTGAAGAAGACAACAAAGTCGAAAATATTTCTTCTCCACCTCTCAACTTCTATTTTTCGATTTTCGATAAGAAGCTATATTTATATAAAAAGAACCTTGACTGATGTAACAATAAAACATAACAAACTCCTAAAAATATTAAAAGTAGCTTATTACATCCATAATTTTCGTCAACAATCATATTACTGTCAATATATCGCTTCAGAATGTAACAAAATTTGTATAATGTTTGTAATTAGTTTTTCATCATAGATGAAATCATATGGTAATTAAAACAATCTTAATATCATTGAATGCGGTCTTGATTTTAGTACAATATTCATAAGTAAATCATACTTAATTTATACTTTCAACAAGAGTTGCCCGGTTTTATAAAATAAATATTATCAATAGATGTATATGTATATATTTGCATGAGAATAAATACGTCTGCTGTTGATTTGTATAAAGCTAAAGTAAGTTGGATTGATTATATTTTTATTGCATAGCAAAAACATGTTCTTCTTAATTCTTCTCAATCTATTATTACCATTGGCAAGTAAATCTCTTGAAAATATTTCTTACGGTGCGAAATTTTATGAAAAAATAATAGCGATATAATAATCAAATTCGAATGCCAGCTTTAAGGAATCTACGGCAATTTCTCCTATAACACTTGTTTTCCAGTAGATATTTTGTTAGAACATTATTGATTTGATATAACAAAGAAATAGATAATAATTAGATTCAGATATTATCATTACCCTCACTCTCATTATTACGAGGTAACTTTTCCAACTGATCGAGCACTTTCGAACTTAGATTTTGTCCCTAATTTTCCCTGAGAACATACTTATTTTACTGTAGAAGATAAACAATGAAATCACTTGTGGATTGTTATTATAAGAGAAAATGCCAAGAAAAATAATATATGCATAGTTTTTTTTATCTAGTTGCTGATATTCCATTGGAATGGATCAATTGTAGTACGTGGATCGATCAAGTATTAATTGAAAAAGTCGAAGCAAACATATGGCCACCTAAACGAAACGAATTATTAACAGTATCCGTATCAGGTGTGGCAAAAGAATCATTTATCGAGGATATTCTTTACCATCAATATTGGGATCATTAGATGATCTCTGAATTACATTACCTACTTATTCAGGTCCATTAAAAATGGTTTTATTTAATGGTACAATACCTGAAATAGCACCTGAAGGACAATATGATATATATGTAAATGCAAACGAGCAAGATCAAGCAGAGATTCTATGCGTTAAAATTAGTTGGGATTCTAAGATAGTTGAAAATAAAAAACGATGGCTTAACGACCATTCGTTCAGATTCTTTTTTTCTGATCATTCTATAACAAGAGCATTTTTGCATCAATTTTTTTATTTTATTTCAAGTTTATCTTCATATGATGCCACTCTATTATGAAAAGAACATTAATTGTCCAAAGTTATTGTTGAAGTTGTTTTCCAATCTGAAAAAAAAATATTCTCATTGTTGAATATCATTTTCTATATAGACAAATCGCTGGTTGCATGTAGTCTATAGATTGTACCTAATTCAATCAAAATGGTATTGACTGTTCTTTCTTAAATGGAAAATCGAAGTTGAACATATGAACATTATCTAAAACCAGTCTTAGATTGATTTCGTTTCTCTCAACAAATAATTAGGCATGATGCAGATGAACAATCAAAGATGAATCGAAATCATATTTTGTAGTATTAAATAGGGATTAATATTTGTTTTATATTTTACCGACATGTATCGATCCGTAAATAAATATCAATGGTTCTTTCCAGACTAGACTGGGATCTAGGAATCAAGCCTTTGTTAAGTTTGATTTAACAAAAACTGGGACTCCTACATTATTTCTTTTTCATAAGCCTATTGATAGACAAGTGAGGGGCAGTTGAGTCTTTTTAATAACAAAGAAAATTGTTTTTTATTCAAAACGTTTTCGATACAAACTGTGATCACTATCTTCCATTGTATCATCACCTCTTCTATATTATTTTTTTTCTAAGAAAATAAGCTAAAAAATCAAAAGATTTCAGTTCAGATCATGTTTGTTAGTATCTCAAAAAGTAATGAAATTCAATGCATTAACATTTGCTTGTATAATATTATCATTATCTTGATTAGAACTTTACAGTTACTGATTTAGTCTTAATAACGGTATTGATTCCATGTTTTGTTTATCTAATTTAATATTCGCTTGTTCAAACAATTGACGAACATCTTCCAAACTTGAAGAATATTCTCTTGTATAAACAACACGTTTTATACCATTTTGAATAATTTTCTTTGAACATTGACGACATGGATTATGTGTAACATAAAGTGTAGTATCTCGACATAGACGACGACCTAATGAAGCAAAAACAATTGTATATCTAAAATTTGTGCATCAGAAAAAAAGCAGAAATGTTTCATACCGGCTTCGAATAATGCACTTTCTTCAGCATGTATACAAATACATTCGTCCAATCTTTCACCATGTTCAATTGACATATTCCAACAACGTTTACATCCACCTTGATCACATGCTTTGATATTATCCGGCGTACCATTATAACCTGTAGCAATGATGCGTTGATCTGTGTCAGCAATGATACATCCAACACGATGACGTACACAATTACCACTGAAACAGTCTAGAGACATGTCAATACCATAGCAAGAAAGTAATCTCTTATCGACAATGTGAACTTCTAAATAAGCTTCCTAGGTATAGCGGTTCTACATGAAATGATATTTTCAGATAATAAAAATTTGAAAAGAAATTTCTATGATCGCTCTAAAACTACTATTCGATGTCTTATTAATCCATGTTGCAGATAAGGTTGTTGAATAAATAGAAAGTTGATTATGCTGCTGTTTTTTCTTTGAAAGATCTAATATTCAAATCTTCTCTTCATAAATTTAGAATAATACACATTTGATTCAAAACACAAACACAAATAGTGTCTTTCGAACCTTGACTTTTTTCTAGTATAAAACGAAGCAAAAGTTGCATTGCATTAGTTTATGAACTTATTCTAGTAGTTGTCGAAAGAACACGATCATGGTTTTTTTTTACTATTGTTTAAATAGTTTCCTCTGCTAGATGACTTCAATCTAAACGGTATAGAACAGATTTACGAGAGAGTTTATTCGACTGGTACTTTCGATTTCGGCTCATATTTTACTCGTAGAAAGGACTCATAGTGTAGATGAATATCCTGCAAGAATTCGTGTCATTATGCCTTTTTTTTTCGAATTATAGCCATTTTACTGAACTTTCTATCTGTTGCAGAATATCGAAAGAAAAAAATTGTGACGAGGCGTTTCGGTCTGGAATTCTTTCCAATAATAACTCTCATGGTCCTTATGATAGTCTGAAAGTTTCCATTCAAACAATATGCCTAAAAATTGAATTCTTTTTGGAGCTTTCATGTAAAAGTAACATTTTTTGCAACCTTATTATTTCAGAAAAGGGACATCTATTTGAGTTGAAACCTTCAAGGTATCATAACGGCTATAAGAGTTATTGTTTTGGGAAAATCTTAGACTGAAGCTTTCTGCTGCGATTTTTCTCGTGATATTACGAAATAAACTGAAAGTTCAGTGAAATGACCATAACTGAAAGAAAAATGTCTAATGGTACGAATCTTTTCAAGATTTTATCAATAATATAAGTTCTACCTATGAGCAAAACATGAGTTCAAACGAAGATTATTAGTCGGATTGGTTCGCTCGTTAGTTTATCATACTAACTGAGAAGCTGTAATCCAAGCCAACATTAAAAAATATTGATCCCAATTCGGACACAATAATTTTGTTGTCGTTGTTGATTGTTGATCTTTTGAATTGACTGATAATAAATCTGCTAATTTCTTTTCTAAATTCCTTCGATCGTTTGTATCATTAATCAATCGTAAATCACAAGAGTCCATACATTTGTTTAATGGTGATATATCTTTACTATCTACGTGTAGATTTTCTAACATGTTTTCAATATATTGTTCGTTAGAACTTATCCCAAACATTAAATAATCATCTAATTGAACAAACATTTCCAAGGAGTGAATTATTGGATGTTTTTGACGCTGAAATCGTAGTATTAATGGTCCCTCAATAGCAATTGGGAAAAATTGAGGATTATCACGAATTTCGGTCATCGCTTTCAATGAATCGATACACACAATTACAACATTTTTTGGCCATGTTTCTTTCGCTTTTGAAAGACATTCTTTAGCTGTATGATCTTTCTTCTTCTTAAAATCTTTGTACTCCAGTATAACGAAATCGTATTGTTCATGAAGGATATCAGCAATTAAATGTTTACCACTCGATAATGAACCAATTAAGCCAATTATTAGCATTATAGCTATTTAGTTAAAAAATTCTAACCGATCTACAAACTAAATAAAATAAGATGAGAAAGTGCACAATATCAATTCAATGACTGACATCTTATTGATAAAAAAATAAGAGTCAAATAAATCTATATAGTCTCTGGAACTGAAAATCGAGATCGTTTATAACATTAGGTGGTATTCGAGATTGTCTCGAATACGAAATGTAGTACGAAGAACGAATTTTGATTTTTCAAAAATGACAATATTTCATGAAAACGAATAAACAATTTCACGATTCATCAGAAATCGGTCTTTTCGAAACCATATTTATGTTTTGCTGCAATTAGCGTTTGCCCTGCCACTATGAATTCTAAAATTCATGTTGCGACCGATCAGCCGACAAAAATCCGAAAGAATTCATAAACCAGCCATCGCGAGATTCATCACTACGAGAACTCTAAGAATGCGCAACAGCACATTTCTAATAAACGACATAGATTGATCGTTTAATTATCTGTATGCTTCATTATCTAGAATCAGCTGTATTCACAGCTGTTTGATACATAAGAAAAAGAGTAACACCTAACTTTTGCTTAAGTTTTCATTTTAATTATCTTGCAATGAAAAAAGCTCTAAGTTCTGTCAAATTTGTCTTTTGTGGACGCTATTTCCTCGAGAACAGAAAGTGGTGGAAGGAATCTGGAAAAAATGGCAGTATTTCGATCTCGATACCTGGCCTTCGCGTTTGAACGAGCACTTTGTGAGTTTTCATTCTCGAGATCATCGCGTCACAAAACTAGATGGCATTCGAGATGCCATGCGAAGCCGGAATTTCGAGAAACCGAGAAAAACTGATATTTCTTTAAATATCAGACATGACTAAATTCATCACTATGAGAACTCTATCAAAGTCTAAAAACTTAGTTTGAAAGAATGATATTGATTGATCGATTAATTATCTTTGTGATTCATTATCTATGATCACCTGTATTTGTAGCCGTTCGACATATAACAAATGTGACTGGCGCCTAACTTTCGTCGCTATTTTCGTTTTAATTATCTCAAAGTCAACGAACTTTTAAATCATGCTAAATTCATCATTTTCGGAAGATTTTTCCTCGAAAACAGAACATCGTATGATGGTAATCGAAAAAAAATATACTTGTTCGGTGTTGATACTTTTACTTTGCGTTTCAACGAGTGTTCTCGGAGTTTTGGTTCTCGACATCATCGAGTCATAAAATGACAACTTTTGATGCGTACGTCTCAAATTCGTCATGTATGTCGCGATGATTTCTAGAAAAATCGGAAAAGAATCGTTGTAATGAGAATTGATAGTATCAAGATCAAGCGTAAATATTCCGGAGTCAAATGCTCTTTAAGACATGGAGATAAGTTACCAATAGAGCCCCAAAAAGATGAAATTATTCGGAGTTAGAAATTTTGTTCTTTCGAGATAATTAAAACGAGAAACGTTAGACGCCAGTCTCTTCGCTCATGAATGAAACAGCTGTGAGTGCAGCTAATGATAGATAATGAATCATGCAGATAATTAAACGATCAGTGAACAATGTTCATTAGAGAGTTGTGCATACGCGTTTATAGAGTTCTTCTGATGATGAATATTACAATGACTGATTCTAAAGCTCATAATTACTACAATCAGCTGATCGATAGATATAGAGTTTCCAGTTGTGAAAAATAAAAGAAGCAGTGTTCCGAGTAGAAGATAAACATCTTTATACGAAATATCGTTTTATTAAAAATCCTGAAGACGATTATTCGTTGTTTTCGAAATTTCGACTTTTTCGAAAAATAGATATTCGTGCTTCGCACCTTACTTAGCACTCTCGACGAAGTCGAGATGCCATCTAGTCTAACTTGTAGTCCCAGAAATCATCACGGCACAAAATGACGAATTTGAAACCGTACGTCTAGAAATAAATAAACAAAACTCGCTACGTGGTACTATAATGTGCTTCGCACCTTAAAAAGAAAGAAAGTAAACTCGCGATCGACTACATAAATGCTGTGCTTCACATCGCATTAAAAAAAAATAAAAATGAATTATATGCTTTTGACTGTGATTTACTTTGGTAGAGAAGATCGAGAGAATATTCAATGTTGCTTTTTTTAGTTAATTACAATGAATTAATCTTGCTACCTAATCTTACCAATAGAAAACTACCAATATAACTACAATGTTCAGAATCAGAAAATTGTTGATAATGAAGGTCAATAAGCCTCTATAGCTCAGTGGTAGAGCGCCAGTCTTGTAAACTGGAGGTCCGTAGTTCGATCCTGCGTGGAGGCATTAATATTTTTTTCCTTCTTCTCTTTCCTACCACAAGAATGATGTTCGTTGTATACAAGACAATCTATTGTGATGACAAAAAAACCATGCCTAACGAAAAATCTAATAGTGATTTAGTAACTGTTCATATCTGTGATTAAAATACACATTATGCACTAAATACGAATGTTTAACAAGCTTATCCTAACATCTATGAACCAATCAAGTTGCATTCTATGTTTCGTTCTTTCGTATCTACACTTTCTTTTTATTGTATCGTGCACATGCATTAATAATAAACATCAACCCAATACTGAAACACTTAGCTTATTAATTTTAAAAAAATTAAAAAAGAGAATTATTGTTTTTTTCCATTTGACAAAAAATTGATGTCGTTTCTTTGTCTTCTAGATTGAATATAATTGAAATTGAAAATGTATAGTCAGTAACATTCATAATTATTTTTAAAAGCTATATTAATAACAACATTCATTATCTTACATTAAAAAAAATCTATTTTCGTAGCTAATCACTGATAAAAAGCATTCATCTTTAAATAAACATAATTATTTCTATTTGATTCTAAAATTTCAGCCAAGTATGCAACTATTAGTTTAAACTTATTCCTTCCTAAAGAAATTATTTCTACATTGAAATCATTTATTGTTTGTATTCATTAAAATATATAATGCGACATACCGTTAATTACAATATCAGGTGAATAAGTGCAGAATTTTATTTTTAGAAGTACATATGGTTATATAGGAGGGTAAAATGGTGTAAGGACAAAAATGTCTCTGCGTATTGTGTTTTTCTTTTTAAGTAAAGGAAGAAAGAACTCAATCGAACCTCAAAGCGAAGTTTATGAGCTATGAAATGATTAATAATAAATATATGCTACGGAAAAATTAAATGCAATACAAAAAAGGTTTTATGATAGACAATGAAATGATAAGATTTTTGTCACAATCAGTATAAAATATGCACCAAGTATTTTTTTTTAATATTATTGAGCTAGTGAAGTTATTTATTACTTGCTTTATTGTTTTAAATGAAGAAAAACATTTTTCAAAAATTATGTCTCTTATTGTTGCACAGTATACAAAGTTTTCCATTAGTTTTAAGAATGATTCAATAAATGTTAGTATTGATCGATAAATGCATTAGACAAAACCATTTGATGAAAATGTCAATGACTGTTTTACTATTGTAATTAACACAATTCAAATGAGTTCAAGTACATTGTAAGAAATCTAAGATTATTGTTAATCAATTGAATATGCAAAAGTCAATGAATCATTGGCTAACAAAGAATTTTTTTTTTTGCAAAATTTTTACTAAAGCTTATCTATACCAATGTTCATGTTTGCAACAGTGCAATTAAGCAGCCGTGCAACAACATTCTTTCATTCTTTGTTTGATTCAGTGAACGAAATAGTTTATAGATTTCTTGTCGAATATTTACCATCAATATTGTATATATCCAAGTAAACGAATATTCAAAACGACATTGAAATATTGTTTTAAGACATGATTGCATCATTTTATTAAGATCTATATAAACTTGAACAATATGACAACGTTCTCTTTTTCTACAAAGCATACAGAAAAATAAAAGTCTAATATTATCTTATTCAAACTTTCTTTCCAAACTAACAAATTTTTTCAAATCAATATTGATTTTCTTTTATCATATACTTCAATAATAATTGTAATAAATTATACTATTATATGTAAAGTATGTCTTCTGAAGGTATCAGCTAAGGTTCTGATATTAATTTAACTAGTAATGTCAAACAATGACGAATATTGTCATTATTGAATTCAACGGTACTTTGATGAAACAAACGCTATTTATAGTAAAGAAGTCGCAACAGACAAGAGATAGTTGGGATAATCGATATTCATAAGTTATTTTATAAATCTTCTAGATGAAAATGTTTAAGTATGGAATGAATTTCACGAAGCTTTTCTGTGATTTGACATTGTTTATGACATGCGAATTCCTTTATAGCTATAAATATTAATTTTGCAGGTCATTAATTGCTCGCATGTTAAGTGTAATTTAGTTTATGTTCAAATATATTTCATACGAAAACTGTTCACAATAGTTTTTCTACTTACAGCCACTTCAACTCGAAATAATATTTAATAAATACATCCCTTATGTCAACTAAATTCATCTCAGCTGCTCACGTAAGTGAATTTCTATTGTTCAGTGTATCACATTAGAATCCAACATTGGGTTGGGTAGTTTAACTCGATGAAAGCTACAAAGCTACTTATACACTATATCAAAAATAACTAGTGGTGAATAAAACAATTCTTTTGCCGAATTTTTTCACGTGTTTTATTATAGTTTTACTTCACTATCGAATAGAACATGTGACCATGCAACTTAGTTGGGTACGGATCTAAACATTTATGGCGATATCTTATTTTAAATATAACTTTCAATGCAAACCCATCCTAATTCAATTCTACTATGATTACTTAACTTTCGGATTGCCAAAGCTTGAAACAAATAATAAAAGCACAAATCCATAAATTTTCTAACTTTTTTACATCGATTGTTTGGTTGTAAACACAACCTATCAATAGTTTTCTATTTTGAAGTTATTTTTCGACAAATATTGATAGCTTACGAGAGAATCTTTTCATGTGCTAAATCAGTTTTGGATCATAACTATGTTAATTTGATGAACATTAGTGAGTGATGAAATAGTCTAGAATGATTTGAGTTTCAAAGTATCCATTCTAACGAAATCGAATTTTTATTGGAATTTTCAACATAATTTCATAGTTTCCATTAGTTCAACTTTGCGCAAAAAGCTCTTGTCATGAAGGTACTAGTTCATTTTCAAAGTTTCAGCTTTTCTCGTCAGTTCTTTCATGAGATACGAGTGTTGGAAGTTGTTTTGTATGACAAAGCAAATTTTGTACTTATTTTTGTATTTCGTGACAGAAAAAACTAAGAAGTCTGACAAATTTTTTCAACGAGTAAGTCTCATTGAAAACATTATTTGTGCGAAGTTTCAAATCGAAGCTCAACAATTAACTTTTTACATGACTATGGAGCTTTTCTGGGAAATTCTATAAATAATCTATTTCTTAGAAATGCTACAAGTAAAAGATTCTAAATAAACATAGATTATCAGCATCAAATGCAAAGCATAATTACACTAAATACTAAGTTATTAGCTGTAGTAATTGTAAGAATCGCTTCTGATTCTCTTTTTCTGTCCGCTATGCTTTACAGTAAAACTTATTAGCTTTGTGAAATAATAACACGATTTTCCAATTAATCACCACAGCTGTCAAAGCCATCAAAGACTGAATGTTCGATAATGAAAGCATTAAAAAAGTTGCTCTAATTTTCAGCTCATTTCTGACTAGAACGATGATTTTTCTTTTTATGGCAAACTTAGTCATTCCGGCTTTTAGAAGTTGATAATTCAACAAGGTTAGATTGTTTTCTTTCGTAGCAAAAAAATTCTGTTCAAGCATATAGATACATCTATATCAAATTTGGTATCCGGCGAAATCGATACCTTTTACTTCGCGTATTTTAATTCAAAATGTTCACAAATGATGAACAAAAAGAATACTGTACGGAACATGTTAAAAAAAATAGAAAAATAAACATCGAACGAAGTTAATTAGATATAATCTCATAGCATTACAACTTTATCCTATCCAGCTGTAAGAACTCTTGATTTCTCGTGCCAATGCCATTTAGCATCAATGCATATATCATCATGTGCTTTAATTCGTTCAAAAATACGTGTTGTTTTCCAATTCCAAATGATTAAACGTCCATCAGCATCACCATTTATCACATAAGACATATCAGGTGAAAAAACAAGACTACATGCATAACCAGATACCTATAAAATTAAAGATATATCGATTTATTTTAATTTCAACTAAACGATTACATATCATATGACCTTTGAATATTTTTTTTACTTTTCCATCGAAAGTTTGCTAATGATTCCATGATTCGAATTTGATTATCCATTGATTGAAATGCTAAATATTTACCTGCAATAATAAATAAAGTTTACATTAAACTAATATCGAACAAAAAAAATTAACAAAACCATTTCGTGATTGTGCAACAGCAAGCATTGAATGCATTGTTGGGTCAGCTATATATTTGAAATCAACAAGAATATTTCTTTAAACAAAACAAATAAAGATCTAAGTATCAACAAACCATATAGCTTTTTTTCCTTACCATTCCCATACACGAATACTTTTTTGTCATCAGATGTTGAAACAATACGACGATTTCGATCAACAAATGTAACAGTATTAATAGCACCTTAATGTCGATCATATTCTTGTACAACATGACCACTTCGAATATCAAACTAAATTATCAGTAAATCAACAACATACTATGTAACAAATCGATGTTAAAAAGGAAAGAAAAACTTACACAAAAAATTTTCTTATCAGACATTCCACATATAAATAAATGTTGTTTGTGTTCACTTGAATTAAATGATACACAATAGGGTATTTTACGCATTGAATACTTGACCTAATACAAGAAACATTTGATTGAAAATTTTCAATTATAAAATACAATTCATACCGGTTTCTGTGTCTCACAATTTAACCATATTATCATATGAAACAGAAAGAAATTCTGTGCCTGTATTATAAAAATTAACATCACGTACAGCTTGACGATGCCCAGCATATGTTCGAATACAACGACGTTCATTATAAAATCCTCATAATTACAAAAAAATACTGTTAACACGATCTTCATCAGATAAAAATGTAAAACATGGCGTACTTATTATTGCTCATTGTAAGGAGTCTATTTTATCCTATATATTTTGCGATACATTTCTTCGTCATCTTTTATAATATTCCAGAAATGTATCAAGGAAGTAGTTTATATATTATAACCGGAGTTATCGATATACGGTCTTTAATCGCATATCGACAACGTCTGTCACAGTCTGTGGTGTAGGAAGTTTGAATCTTCACCCCTATACTTCTGCAATAATGCTGGACATGACCATCGTGACGCAAAGTTGCAATCAGTCGAGATGTTTTGAAATGATTCGGTTCCAGATATCTTTTAAACAGATGAAAACCGGCAAAAACTGGCCGCTTTGTTGGATGATCATTAATAAGTTAATGAGAATGGTTTTCGAAGGTATATATTTTCCTTTTTGCATCCAGGTTTTTATAAATCTTCAGGAAGAAATATCAAGTTATAATATTTTATTCTTGATAAGTTTCTTAAAGACAAATACATGATATTACTATATGTAGTGTGGAAAAAAAGAGTCATTTACTTATCAACTGATTGCTAAACTCCAAATCTACAATTTTTCCACTGAGCCTTCTCAGACAAACCCAACGTTTCTCTTTGAACCGCTATCTAAACTTCAATTCGACCTTTAGCAAAACATATATGATGGAAGTTTAGCTCAAGTAATACAGTTTTGAATGTACTTTTTAAAAAATAAAATATACATCGATTTAAGAAATAAAAAAGGGCGGACGAACAGTAGGAAGTAAAACTAATAGTTATTGAAACAATACTGTTTGAATATTTTGATAAAAAAAAGTAAACTTGCTCTCTACAAGCTTTGTGAGGGAAAATTGGCACATATACAAAATATTTTTCAATCGGTGCAGACTGATTACAGCTCTGCCCTGATTCACGGCTTACGGCCTCGGTTGCTGCCAGTTTTTCTTAAAAGTTCGTGAGGCGTGAGCGGACTGCAGTCGCGGTCTTCAAACTAGCCACACATCCTGTATTATGTACGCTATAAATGACCAACTTAAACAATGTGAAAAAAAAGTCAAACTTTAAATGTTTAATCCATCTCATTTTGTTTCGAGAAATTAACTACATGCCATTTATCTTTGACAATATGTTTTCAGTGGCAGCTGAGTTGCCCATTATTTGCTTTATTAGATCAACTTTACTATTTCATATTTCAACAGTTTTGTTTTCTTTCATCGTACTTTAACACATTCTCGTTGCTTTTACTCATATAATTGATATTTATTAGACCTTTGTCAATAATAGATTTAGTTTATGTAAAGAAGTCCTAACAAACTATAATTAATTTCCGTAATAAAAAAAATTCTGTCACGCTGAATACTAACTTAATACTTCTTTTTAGATCGTGTTTCACAAGAAAATAATAAGAATTGTGTTTTTATTGAAGTAAATTTTTTCTTATCTATTATACTTACTTTAACTTTGGAATCTATTGAACAGGTAAGAAAAAGATGAGCAGAAACGGGAAAATAATGAATCTTTTGTACAGCTTTTATATGTCCTTTGTATGTATGTATACATTGCTTTGGAATAAAACATCGTTGTGGTCAATGTTCTGAGCGTAACATCTTGTGTCATATGCAGAAATGATCGACCTTGATAATCAAATGGGTCTTTAATCTCTAATTTTGTTGACGATGAATCTTCAGATTCTTCATTCAATGTTGTTGATTCAGGATCACGAGGAGATACTAGAGCATTACGATTTTCCAATGTAGGTCGTTTAGCTTTGGGTTTTTTTGCTAAGTATTCATCGATTTCTTTTTGTTCTTCCTATAATAATACAAAGAATTGGTTAATATTAAAAATTTATTGAGTAAAATTTACTTCCGATGGACGCGATACAATAATTTCATTGACAAATGGAGCCTATAGACCATAAAAACCTTCGACATCACTTCGATCATTATTGTTTTCTTTTTTTCGCTTTTCACCAGAACGTGTTTGATTTGTTTCAAAAATAGTCATGTCTTGATTGATTTCAGCCCTAGTTTGATTACCAACCATTTGTGGTATATCATCTTCTTCAACACTTGGATCTACTGCATACCCAAAACTATCGAATGTTCGTCGTTGATTTTCAAATTGAAAATCACTTAATGTGGTCGATTCGGCGTACCCATTTAATACATTCTTAAAACTACGTTGTTGCTGTGTCAAATTTGGATTTGTTGGACTAAACTAAAAGCAAAAAAAAATAATAATAAATAATTTCTTCTATTTTTCTTTTTTTTAACTTACTACTGGTGCATACATGTCTTCAAACTTTGGATTGTATAAAACTTCTCTTGTTTTTATATCGAGAAAACTACTTGTATCTGCTAGCTAAAAAAAAAGAAATATTTTATAATCGTAATGTATACTATTTTTGAAATATCTAATCTTAATGTTGTTCAATTATTTCAACATGATTAATTTTAATGAAACCATGACGATTCTAATTCGTAATCTCCGTAAAAGTTCCCTATACTAACTACATATGAAAGATATGAAAGTCTTGGTAGAATTTTGAAGGATTTGTTCCATGCAATAATACTACCTTGTAAATGTACGAATTAATCAATGCAAAGTGTTATGAATAAGCTTTAATTCTTTACTCTTTATTTATCACTGAAGTAATAATTTGTAGACCGATTACAAAAAGTAAATGATGCATTGAATGTTAAAGAATCGAAAACATGTTTTGTAGTCAACTTCATAAAACTATCCATTGGTAAAAAAGAGTCATATTGTTCCGTTGTTCCATTGTCGAAATATTAAACGTACAAAACCGATAATTTTGAAAAAACTAAAATATTTTAAACAAAATATTCTCTTTTGTCAGAGAATAAAGATCTTTGAAGCTTTTTGTATGATATAGATTGATGAAGAGGCTTATTGATAAATAATACAAATTTTTCAAAGTTCTACGACTGTTTTATGAATTATGGACAATAAACCGAAAATGGATCGTTTTATCACAGTGAAATACATAAAAGAAAATCAAGAATAGAGTTAATTTATTTACTGTCAACTTCATTACCTACGGAGTTAAAATAATATTTAAGATGAATAAAATGTTTTCAATGGTTATACAATTTCTGAAAAAAAAAGAAACAATGAAAATATGTGTTGAAAACACGTGTATTGTTTCACAATTGGTTTCATGTGTTTACTCTTTCCCTTTTTGATTACTTTATTATCATAATAAATAAGTTGCTTTTACTTAGTCAATTTTCTTATGAAATAAAAAGAATCAGTGCTTCTCATATCATTCAATCCCTATTTGCTATCATATGATTACTTGAGCAATCAAAACCACTCTGTTTCAAAATCAGGACACTAGATGAATCTAACTAAGAGTGTACAGGGTAGAACAAGTTAGAGATAACAACCTGCGACGAGGTACAGCAACATGAGAATGATAAAATCAATGAAGCCATGATCGAGATATGTTGTTAATCAATCATTTTCACATTGTCGTTATGCGAACAAATCGAAGATAAGTATTTATTACATTGAATATAATAAGACTAAATCGATATGAAATGTAACTAAATCATTATTTGGTATACCATCTAATTCACATCAAAGAAAAAGAATCTTCAATACAACTACAAGAATTCTTAAAGATTGGCAGCAAAATTTTAATGATGACATTGTGATGATTTGTTATTCATAAGAAATTTCAACAAACAATTATACGTTAATGTTTTGTAATAGAAACATAAAATAAATCAGGAAAACGTGTTAGTATTTACTTATTTCAGAGTCATCCGACTAGACTGATTGAGAGTGAGAAATAAACTTCGTAGAGTACAATGAAAGTAAAAAAAAATTTCTTCTGACAGAGTACAGAAAAAGTTTACTCAATACTTCTCTAACTCTTACCATACCATCAGCACATTATAGAGGCTAATACTCGATTTACAAGATTATTTTATCAGTATCTTTTCGAGAACCGAATGTATATAGTTTACAAAATTTTATATACTTTAAGATGTATGAGAAACTCGAAGCCATTCATGGAATAGTTTTACTGAAATACTCATTGAAATTTTTGACATCAAAGTTTTGTTTGAATTGCAGTTTCTTGGTTTTTTTTTTCATATATTCAAATCATGAGAAAATAAGAACAAATGAAGTTTAAATAATCTTTTCTCTAATTTTCATCTGTCTTATTAACCTGAACAGTAATAACTGATGCTAAATCAAATTTAACTTTTGACATAACAGAAAATGTTGAATTCCTTATTACAGCTACTTGATCATCACTTTCCTCTTTATGTTTTGTTGCACTTTTCTCGTCTTTACCATCATTATATAATGCTTAGATAGAAGCAAGATCTATCTAAAATATATATATGCATTACCGATTTATTCAACTAATCTTTATGTTAAAAAAAAAAAGACAAAAAATTTATTGATCTGATCTTGCTGTTCGAAAGAAATAAATAACATTAGTAAGACATAACAAAAAGAAAAAAAAATATAACATGAATTATACACAATAATAAACATTTCAATATAACAAATGTTAACTAAAGTTTTAAATAACGATACAATATGGCATAAGTGTATTTATACTGATCTGATTTCGACATAATGGACATTGAGATGATGTAGCTAATAATTGACGACTACATAATGTACACATAATATGATTACATTGTGTAATTATTAAATCAACACCTGTATATTGTAAATCAGTAAGAGTTTCTAAACATATTGGACATTGATCACTATCAATTGATGATTGATGTTCAAGTTTATTCGATAAACAATCAGTAGAATTTGATTCATCATCTGTTAAATCAATTACTTCATATACATTTTCAATATTTATTTCATTATCTTCAATAATGCCGACTAAATCATTAAGAGGTGATGACAATAATATATTGATTATTGGTGTTATTGATAGAATATTATTATCAGTTATATCAATAATTTGATCATCATCTGAATCAGAATCAGAAAGCATTATAATTCTAGTATCAATTTGTTCACATGTACTATGTTTATTTTCATATATTATTTCAATAATATCATCATCATCATTATGATTATTTTCACTAAAAGTTTAAAGAAAAAAAGAAATATATTTAATAATCTTCCATGGAACGATAAGTTTTGAACCTGTCTAATGAAATAATCTGTTCGTTAATAATAGTTTCTTCTTCAGGTTCATTGATTTCAGCTGATGTTGATAAAGAAGAAACACGACGACAACGTTTAATTACACACTCAGCTCCATCAGATAATCGTTTCATTTTTTCAATCAAATGAAATATTGAACAACGATTTTATACATTTTATACTTGAGATATTTCCTTGTAAGTGATTCATGTATTTATTGCTCAGAATAGATGGAGCTGTTTGTATATTTGACTTTTTTTTTTATTAGTGAAAGTAAATCAATGTTTGAAACAAAATAATGATTTTATTTTAATATTTTGTTATTTTTTTAACTATTATTCAAAAACTGAATTATTCAACATATAATTGGTTCTTCGTAAAACATGAAGAATAGAGCAAACAAACAAACAAACACAAAAACATGATTGTTCGTATATAGAGTTATTTTCCTCATTGATCACGAATTAATGATATCATCTGATTAGTGATTGTGCTTAAAGTTAAATAAGTTTCATAATCACTATTTCTAATCGCAAATGTATCGATCAGAACATCTACTATCTTTGATATACATGCCGTTGTACATTTCACATAGAGTATTATTAGCAAAGTGTACCTAGGTAAACTTTTTTCAATAAAGTAAAACATTGTTTCCAAGATGACTATATATATTTTTTAAATGGAAAAATAGTAAATGTAACTCATTCTATTTTTTTAGAACATATCACTTTTTTCTTTTATTCTTTAATTTCTCTTTAATTGTATCAGAGAAAAATACGAACAAAAAAAATATTTTTTTTTTACCGCTCATTTTGACAGATTCTACTTACGACACGATAGTGTATATTAGAGTCCGGCAGGTTGGATTCGAAAATATTAGACTCAACGGACTTCAGCCGTATGAGACATGCATCTAGTGCTCTCATTACTGAACATAACAAACAGGAAAAAATTATCTCATATCTTTCTGATGATTGTTCGACTTCGATAAAAATATTTCATTGTGAGTATCAAAGGGCGATTTGACCGAGTCCGAAAAGTTTAGACTCGACAAACTCGAGCATGTACATATATTTTGTTAGTATAAACAAAATGTAAAAAAACAAAAGATATTTTGCTTTGGATTTTCATTAGAAATATCGATCATAATATCATCTTTTACCTTTTTTTTTTTTTTGTAATGATAGATTATATATAAATATATATATATATACAAAATGTCATATCGAAATTATTCATCTCGTGAAGGTGGTAGACATCATACTGATCCAACATCATCTCGATTTAATTCGAAATCAAAATATCATCAACGTGGTCGAGCAAATAATCGTCCAGTGCCAAATCGTCGTCCAAATGCTGGTGATGATCTTGAAGGAATAACTGTATCAATTGGTCGTCATTTAACAACAGGTGGAATCGATTCTCAAGGTTCATCAATACGAGGACGTACTGTTAGTCGTTCTTATGGACCTCAACAAATTTATCCATCTCGAATGAATGATCGTGATAATAATCAAATAAAATGGTGGCGAATATCCATTCCACAAGCAGGTGCTATTGGAAAAGAACGTGTTATGTCAACACTTAAAGTAAATTGTCTTCGACAATTTCAACCTTATCATGTAAATTAATAAAGGATGAAAAAAAAACTTCTAATTTTATGATTCTTCTTTTTTGTTTTTGTTTTTATTTAGTATTTTATTGATCGTGATACCAATACTGGTGTTTTCTTTGTCCATGATCGAGAAGAAGCTGACATGCTAAAGCGTGCTAATAGAAAAATTGAAATTCAAAATTTAGGCACAGTAAGCTAAAATTATAAAACAAGATTTGTTATGAAATTTTTTCTATATCGTTTTTTTTTGTTTTCTCTAGCTCAGTATAATGGTTAGTCAAGCATCATGTCCAGTACCTTTGTTAGATGAAGATTTACGACGACATTTTAGAGTAAATAACAATTTAAAAAAAAAATACGTAAAATAATATTTAATATTTAAGGATTATATTTGTAATCGTCGATTTAATGCACAAACATTTCAATTAAATTTATCGAATTTAGCTGATGATGAAGGTAAATTTAAGAATTTTTATATGAAAAAAAAAAAAAAGAAATTTAACTATATTTTGTAGAACTTAGTGCTCTTGGTATATATCCTCAACTAAATAAACAAGCATTTGTCCGTGATATTGTTGATATAATCAACAAAGATCTTAATATGGTTAGTATTAATAATTATAATCATTAATGAATACTATCCAAAGGGACACAGCAGACTTCTAACTTTTTGATATTATCCTGTATGGCAAAAGTCTTATAACATTTTTTTTGTTCAAAGGATATGCCATGTAATATTCTATCAGAATGTCTAAACCAAATATTGAAAGTTTAATAGATCATTTAAGATAAACATATCGATTGTTATGTTACTTTTCAGTATAAGAAACTAGATATTTTGAAAATTTTTAAATAGAGAATACAAGTTACGATTTTGTTTGTTTCGTGTATACAACATTTGAAATAAACCGGGGAGTATAGTCAGTTTTTGAAAGTACAAATAGCTTTTACTTATGCTAAATCTAAATGTAAGAATTTTATGTCTATTTGTTATGGTACATTGTCTGAAAAAAAGAGCTGTTCTAGACCTGTCATTGAAAATACTTTTCAAACATCTGTGAATTTATTATACAAGTAGCTGGAGCATACATTTCCAACTCATCCCGATACTGAAGTTATAAAAAAAAACACGGAACAAAAAAATGTCAGATAAAGTAACAAATACGATTTCCTTGAGTTTTGAATAATTTAAACTCATAAATTCTAGGTTTTCATACTTAGCGGCGTAACCAGAGTTTTGGCGATGGTAGGGCTCAGCAACGCTTAAATATCCGGTGGTAGGGCTCAGGTTACTGAGGTCTGTGGGGTGGTAGGGCTTGTGAAAGGATTCAGCTGACGATGCTAACACCGGTGGTAGGGCTGAAAGGTCGGGTGGTAGGGCTGAGCCCCCCCTGGCCCTACCTTGGTTACGCCACTATTCATACTTTTAAAACAGTTCTAAACATTCAATTTTGTAATTTCGATAAAATGTTGCACGTTACACTTTTTTTAAAAAACAAAAGCATCTTTCTATGAGTCTCTTAGAAGATGTGCAGTATTAATGTAAATACTGACAGTGACTCATCAGCACTGATTACACTGGTATTCGTGCTTGTTACAACAGTAGGACACAAACTCTATCAAACTATACCTCTTTTTATAGCGATGTATTCTAGTGCTTCTGTGAATCGTATTTCAACCAAGACGATGTTCATTTGATAAGTTTAAATGGATAATAGAAAAGTTTAGAGTGATTTAGTTTTTCGAGGCACCCATTCTTGACTTATTAAAAATCTTTAGGAGTACTTTCTTTCTAGAGATATAGATATATGAATACAATTAGTTTTTACACAAGAGTAGATTTCCAATGTTTCATATCACACGATAGAAGATGTTGGAAAAGTTCCAACTTGTCCAATAGATTAAACTCATAGAGAATTTTGTTCCTTGCAAATGTTTGAAATCGAAAATCAATTTTTTTTGTACAATCACAGCTTTCTATCGAAAAAATCCAGCAAAATTTCGATATCTCAAGAACAAAAGTTCAGAAAAACAAATCATGTTGAAATTTTCTACTCCTCTCCATTACTCATGAGATAAACATCATCTTGGTGGAAAAGCAATATAATACTAGGAGAGCTTTCCTCTGAAATCACTGACGTTTGGTATTTATCATTTTCCAGTATCTACGTGCATTTCGAAGAATAATAATTAAGATAATATCTTTCGTATTTGTTTTCAGACTCGTCAATTGGATTTGGGTTCAAATAATATATCAAACTTATATGAATTTCGTAATCTTCAATTAAATAATCTTGAACAACTTAGTCTTGCTTCAAATCAAGTAATATTATTATACAATAAATTTGAATTTTTTTTTCACATATAGTTTTGTTTCGTTTATATTTAGTTGAAATCTTTTGAAGAACTTTCTCATCTTAAACAATTAACTCACCTTAATCGTCTTTTACTCAAAGATAATCCATTAATATCATCAAATAACAAACGAAGTATTTCACGCGACGATCTTATCAGGTCAGATCTATAAAAATTTCTTCTTTTTTATTTTCATGGACATTCACAACAGCCAGAGACAAAATAGAAGAACATGTTCTTAAATCGAACGTTTTATCTTGACAGTAATTTTTGTTTTTCTTCTCTCATCACTCATTAAGTTTCATTCAAATGAGAAAAACAAAACATATTTAATCGATCGAATTCAGAAAAAAAAAAAGAAGTTTAATCGTAATCGTTCTATCACTAAGTGTGAGTGTATTGTACGTCGAAAACTCAAAATCAAGAGTGAGTGAAAAAGAAAAAAAACAAAATGTATTAAATTTTGTTTGATTGTAAATTAAATCATAGTTTTTTTGTACGTCGAAAAAATCTTGTTTTTTTCCGTGCAATGAACCAACAACGATAAAAACAATTGTTTTTATTTAATTAAATAAAATAATTAAATAACAAATGGATGTCGAAAAATATTAATTTAACAACAAAAACAAAAACTTTGGCTATTCAATTTTCACATGTATTCTAAAGTAATCGATGAATATTATTATGTTGATATTGATTAATCTATCTATTTTTAATATTTGACATCCAGAAATTAAATCAATATTAACTTTGTTAATTTTATTTATCAAAACAATTCAGTAAGATAACAACGACGAATAAAATATGGCTGATTTTATTTTTTTTTGTAATTGTGATGAGAAAACTTTTGTAAAAGCATGAATTTGTGATAAACGATTTCGATTAAAACAATATGAATACCATAATTCGATGATTGATTTCATTAGTTAATGAATGAAAACAGATGATTTGTTGAGAAACTGAAAGAAATTTACAATGAAAAAACACATATATAAACATCTAACGTTCGATTTAATCATGTATTCAAATCGCCAATAAGTCATAAAAACAGGCGAACAAAAAAAAAATAATAGTTTGTTGGCTGTTGCTTGTATGTCTATATTTTCAGTTGCATTATGCAACAATGATCCATCATCAGGTCCATCTAATACCATTCTAGTACCATTCAGCAAAAGCTACCACAACTTAAACGAGTCGTAAGTTATTTGTTTTTTTTTTTTTCTTATAATATATAACTAAAAGAATAAATACTTTTGTTTTTTGTTTTTTTCCTGTATTATTAAGGATGATATTGATCTTCCGACGAAAATTGGTTTTGGCGTTGATAATGAAATAATACATTTACCCAAATCAGCACCACATTGTGTACCACAAGAAATGCAAGCATTTTTAGCAAAATTTATTGATGAATATTATCGTTTATTTGATACACGTGGTCGTGGTGAATTACATGCATGTTATCATGATTTATGTATGTTTTCATTATGTATTGCACCAACTGAAAGTTCATTAGTTCCAACAAAATCTTATAAATATGGTCCATTAATATATGAATCAAGAAATTTAAAAAAAATTTTCGATGATAATAAACGTGCAACTTTATTACGACATGGAAAAACGGATGTATTAGATTTTTTGAGAATCAAATTTCCATTAACAAAACATGATGGAAAATCATTTCATGTTGATGTTTTCTCAACAGGTGTAAGTTTTCTAATGTTGTGATTTATAAATAATTGCATTCTTAGTATTTTCGAAATTTGTATTCGATTATGTCGCTTGAAATTCTGCTCAATACAACGGAGTTTTTTTTCTTTCTCAACTATTTTGACAGAACGTTTTTCTTCGTTCATCATTGTTGCTTTTGTTGTTATATGGTTCCCATTCATCGTTTCAGTCGAGGATATCCCAAGCCGCGGATCATGCTCTCAGTCTTGAAAAATTTCTGTTTATTTCAGCCTTTTATTCATGTTTTTACTCATCAAGTCTCAAAAAAAATTCTCGATGCTCACCCAATCGTTGTGGTCTCAGTTATAATCTAACAGATTTAAATCAAACAGACTCAGTAACTTACGTTTCTTCGGTATGAATTCACGGACGTGGTTTTTATACTATTTTTCACTTAGATAACGTGTGTAAATCTTAAAAATATTCGGCAAACATTTACTTTGTAAAATTAGCATACTATCTTTCGCGTAGATCAGTTAGAGTTGACCCTCGGATCTTCTATTATGGAGAACAACTAAGATCTTTCTGTGGTAGCAGCTGTATGCGTCTTATTTTAACAGACTATTTTCTTTCTGAGCGTTGTCTCTTGTCAAGGAGGTACTATTTCATTATTTTCATCTTTTATCCAGTATATCTATAACGATTTTTCAGATTGTATTATAGATGGTTTTGTAGAAATTTTCAAGCACTACTTTCTTTTTTATAAAAAAAAAGGTGTTTGCATTAAGTGAAAAATAGAGAAGAGATTTTGAAAATATTAGAAGTGCAATTACTTGTAAGGCATTCGTTATTTTTCATATATTCATGTTTTGAATGTTCTACAGAATAATCGAGCTATATTTACTGTTAATGGTGTCTACAGAGAAAGTAAGTTTTTTTTTTTTGTGTTTCTTATAAATAAAATATCTACGTTTCCTAAATCTAGTCGATCAAGGAGTTAATGGGCCTGTGCGTAGCTTTCAACGTACATTTACTTGTTCACAAACGACTTCAGGGTAAAATAAAGAGTTTTATAATTTCTTTGTCTTTGTGTAAAGACTTTTAATTATTTAGTGTTTTGATTGTTGCTGATCATATTATGATTATTAATGCAACTGATAGTCAAGTTTTGGTATGTATTATATATTTTTTTTTTGCTTGTCAGTAACGAAGATAATATATCCTCGATTTTATAGAATATGACTCGTTCTACACCACCGGCTAGTTCATCAACAGACCCATCATCATCAAGAACAATGGAAAGTCAAAATTGTCCTGGGCCAACTATTGATATACAAACACAAATGGTACAAAGATTTTCTCAACAATCTGGCATGAATATTGAATATTCAAAACTGTTAGTTTTTTTTTTAATTTTCAAATAGATATTTACTTTTCTATTGTTGAAATTTTAGTTGTTTGTCAGAAAATGATTGGAATTATGAAAAAGCTGCACAAAAATTTCAAGATTGTCAAAAAATGGTTTGTTGTTTTTTCTGTCATGTTCTTTAATTAATATTTTTATTTGTTAATTTAGAATTTAATTCCTCCTGAAGCTTTTAAAAAACCTTAATTGAAACATTGTTATCTTACGACAAACATATACATTCTTTTGCTATACATATATTTTTTGTATTTATTACTCTATTGCCTCTTATTTTTGTTGATATCGTTCAAACAACGTTGTTCGTCTACGTTTGGTTGTTTTTCTATTGTAATAAGATTCAATTGTCATGCATTCTTTTTTTTTTTGGTTTCTTTTTGTTCTTTTTTTGAATTATTTGTTTCATTGATGGATATATCACTATCTTGTATTTCTGTTATTTTCAATTCGATCACCCAGGATAGTGTGAAAGCATACAAGAAATTATATGGAAAGAAATTAACTTAATCACATTTTATAATAAAGAATATGAAACATAAATGATTGATGTGTAGGAGACAATAAAAAACATAGAATTTTCGGCTAAAGATTACGAATTTGACATGCTACAAGTCTTCGATAGGAACATTATAAGATATGCTTGACTATGTAGTCAAAAAAACTGATTTCCATATAATCGTTTATTTCTGTGAATTTCATTAGACATATCATAGTTACAATACATAATATCAATGTCAGTTGCTATGTAGGTTTGTCTAACAAGGCAATGTTTTCAATTGATTTATTGTTTTCTTATCAAAAGCTACTGAGGTATGGGTTATCTGCCATGTTGATCCAGAATAGGATCATAAGAAATCTTGTTAGACCTTTGTATATTGATTTTCTGAGAAACTGCTTTTTCAGACGAACAAATATTTTGACAACGTCATTTTGGATATACTTACATTATAGAGCATATCGAGTTGTCCACGAATAATTTATTTTTGCTTTTTTTAAAACAGAAATTTTAAATAAAATAATATTATCTGGAAGATTTTTCCACTGATATATTGATATGTATCTATTGTATTTATCATAAATAAAAAGGACTGTATTGTATACGAAAAAAACCTATTTGTACCAGAAAAATTTTATACAACCACTATATGGAGACATATGGGGAGGTTCTCATGCTGATATTCGAAATCAGCATGATCGATAATTTACGACTTCACTAGCTTTTAGTGAGAAAACAATGAATTAATTGAAAATGTTCCCTCCTAAAACATATACAGTCAAAAAATTACAAAAACAATATTGTATGCGGCAGAAAAATAAGATAGAAATGATACATATCGAAAAGAGGTCTCTACAAGCATTTTTCATCAAAAATCATTTTCTTCGAAGAAAGTCAATTTATATATAGATTCTGCTCAAGAAAAGTTAGTCGAATGTCACTTAGTGAAATCCATCCATTTATTTTAAAAATCACATTATCTGAACGTATCACGAAAAAGTAGGCATTTAACAACGTTTCGATTCTAACATAACTGACATACAATCAATTGTGTGTGTGTGAGCGTCTGAGTAAATCAGATCTTATCTGATTAAAGTTCACTTTAGTTTGAAATGTTCAAAATAAGTCTTTACAGCGTCATTCTAAAAGGAAAAGGTATGGTTATCATTTGTAGCATGAGGATAGGATAATGGAAGATAACAAGAATGTCTCTCTCTCTCTCTCTCATCAATCCATATTACACATCGATGACGCTAAAGGTATAAAATTTCTAGAAGCTGATTTAAAACTACTGAGACACAATTTGAAAAGTGATTTTATATCGATATAAATTGTCACTGGATACAAGTTTTATCTGTACAGGTGTGCCAACTTAATTGTAAGTGATCTTTTACTGATATATTTATCTGTTAGACCTCTTACCTGCTTACTCAGATAGATGTTGTTTTCTTTGAATACTTGGTAATTTATGAACAACTTGTATTTTAATTTACTGTGACCTATGCTGGCATGCCAATGAATTGAACCACATAGTAACGGTTATATAAATAGGGTAGAGATCGTCCGTAGCGTATGATGTGTTGATTGATAATAGTGTCGAGATTTGTAAAGTCATAATGATTATACATGTGGTGTTTCTAGCATATTCGAGGTTGATAGAATCAATTTTACATGATCTATTTACATTCATATTTCTGTCTGAACTGACATTCATTCTATATCGAGGATTTTTATGGAAACATAGGGGTGACTTTGACGATCTCTTTTTAATCAATGAATCTTTCAATCTATTGTTATAAGTCTCTGATCGCTTTGATAAAGCCTTTATTTCGAATAACTGTGTTTATTACTTTGCCAAAAAACTCTTCTGAATCCGTCTAATACTGAAAACATATCGTGCAAAGCTAAACTTATGATTGCTGTCTATTTCGTAAATAGACAAGTATTCGTGGCGTAGGCATGTGTGAGTGTTAGCGTTTACAACAGTGATGAAAAGTGTATTTTAGATGTGCGCATTTCTTCACTCTGTTTATTTCATGGAACAAGACAAGAAGAGAAAGGCATACAAACGTTAATTAAGGACAAATAAAAGAAATCGAACTGAAATAATATTATCGGATATACCAAGCAAACAAAAAAAATCAAAGAGAAGAAAAGAAAAGAGAATAGAAAAGATTGAGGAATGCACTGTAACATAATGGATGTTGGCGTTGATGTGTATTTTGTAGTGGATCCACTCGTCGCACCTACACTCTCTAAATTGCATAATATCTAGGTTCGGTCCGAAGATGCCTTTAACGATCCAATTTTCATAAGATTGAATGTTAAAGAAAAGTACTTATCCTTTAGTCTATATTATTGACTCAACATAAAAGGTTCACTTTTACTTCTCGATGCATATATCAAGAACTAAAGAAAAAAAATATTAAAATGTAACAGTTAATCAGATAGATTTATTGAAAACATAATGTTGATTCTTCTTGGATGAAGTTTTTACATACACTTCGAAGAAAAATATCTTTTTCGTACAGTGTCATCGTCTCAAGCTTACCTATGAAAAATACAAGTATGATGGGCGTTTTGAGCTACTTTATGTTGTCTTTTAATCACTGAAAAAATAACAAGTCTGATTGATTGTATGAGCTCTTACAAGTTGTTGGTAGCTTATTAAATAAATCTATTCATTGTTGACAACACGAACCATTGTTTCGTTGTTTCTTTGTGAGGTAGTACACCGAATTTCTCATTTCTAACTTCGCTTATCCAGCATCATCGTTCAGTGATGGAACAGAAACAACGTAGCTTCTGGGATATGGCAAGTGTCGTCGAGTTCAAACAAGAAGACGATAATACACAAGATCAAAGTTGGAGAAAACGGCTCCAGACGATATTAACTCAGTGAGATGCTTTTGATTTTTTTTAGCATATGTCTGAATGAATACTTTTGAAGGTGGTGTTCTTGTTGCTCGGCATCAGCTCTAACTGGTTTACTCATCGGATCACTGCTCTTCGCTGTAGCTTTCGCAACAGCACTCACTTTATATTTGCAAAAATCAGGTATCACCTATGGATATATGCGATAGGACGAATTCTTGAACATAGATTTAAATAAATGTCTAAACAGCAAGCCTATATGTTTAGATTAGAAAGTGTAGTTTTTGCACCATCAATAAGTGAGTTCAAAGCGTGACGATTTTCTTTGGTCACTTTATGGTAAAGGAGTTAATGAATATTCTAATTATTTGAAGATATTGGATTAGTTGCAAATAAATTTGATAGTACCGAAAGTTTAGGAAATTCAAGTCACTTTTCAAGTGTATTCAATAAATGTCATTCTGTCATCTGCTCAATCAAACAAATGATGGCATGACGTCCGACTCAATTACATACATTTTCTAAATAAACAAATAAATATAGCATTGCAAATACATAGTTTTTCACAGCGATTCATAATTTTTTCTAGGCATGCAAAAAAAGAGGTGGGACTATTAAAAAAACAGCGTAGAAAATGACACTCTTAAGTAGGGTTTATAAGCTTCTTGAGTTCTACATCCAATTTTGTTGAAAACATTACATGCCTATAAAAATAATGAACCCTTTAAGTGTTTATGAAAGTCGAGTGTAAGACCTTGACGAGTTGATTATCTTTATAATCCTGCAAAAAATTATGAAAATGAAACTATAATTCACCCTTACAAGACTTATGAAATTTTCATTAAGCCTCAGCGATTTAAAAAAATTGATGCAAGATTCATAAGATTAATAAATCCTTGAACAGATTTCATGACTCAATGCTTTTCTTTACAGTGCGCTGAAGTTCTAATATAGGCTCATCATTAACTCAAACTCAATGTGTCTCACAGTATAACAAAATTCTTTTCGTCAACAATTTATAGATGGATGCTTATTTAAACTCGTTTTCCACAAGCGTAATTCATTTTTCATATTCTTAACTAACTTGCTATATTATATTGCATACGAGTTCTGTGGGAAACATTATGAAAAACGACATTACACAAATACAAATATCCCATCTATTCAGTTAGAACGAAATATCGACAATGTACACTTTGGAAAACATAGAGGACCACTTGTTTTTCCAGTCTTTTTCATTATTGTGTATGTTTCGATCAGCTTTAGCTATCCTGAAAAAATTGCTCTTCCGAAATGAAGTCAACTCCTGCTTGCATGAAAAACATGATGCTTTTTTGACAGCAAAGAGTTGATGAAGAAAGATTGATCGTTCACAGTTTTAAGTGGTCGGAGAAATGATTCTATGAATGAAGAGTAGGTTACTGTCTAAGAGAAAAGGATGAAGTCTATAGACAAATTTATTCCCAAAGTAGTCGTCAAATAGGATCGAATTTATCGACAGACCGTCGTTCTTCCTTGAACAATATTATTATTACAAAAATTATAGTCAACCATGATTTTCTTGTACTGAGATCTGAAATTCGAAACTTTAAATAGATTCGAGTATGGTCTGCATTACAAAAACCATGACAAGTTCGATAGAAACTAGTACTACAACGACAACCATATCGACTACTTCCACTACAACAACTCAATCGAGCACAACCAGCACTGCCTCAACAACACCAGGTAATCCTACTATAGTGACCAACTGTTCGTCTCTTATTCACGAAAAATAAGTTAGCCTTCGTGAACAAGAGTATTCATAGCTGTTCTGAACTATACAGAATGTCGAAATGAATTGTCTGCTTAAATAATTTTTAAGGAAATTTTTTTATAATAATATGCTAGAAAGAGATAGGAAAAATTTATTAAAAGTGTCTGTTTTGAAACATATTGTTTCGCTTCTTTGCAAGACCTTGTAACATTTCACTTTCTAACGAGTTACCTAATTTGAGTGTGAATATAAATGAAGCTTTAATCGTACAAGATGATTTAAAAAAATACACGAGAAAAAAAAAACAAGTCAGCATTTGTATCTAGCAAACATAAAAACATGTAGTCTTAATTACCAATTATGATTGAGATAGAACTGTCATATAGTGGTGACAGAAAAGTAACAGATAAATTTTATCTTTGTTGTTACCCTAATACAAATGTGATGTTAGTATAACAATTGATGTCTCAAGTTTTTTATTTCTTTAATTAGTCAAAAGTGTAATATGGAATATTCGCCGGTGTAGAAATGCATTTGGTCGTGTAACTAAAAGTTTACATTGACATCGCGGCGTACTACGTGTAGCATCTCTTGAAGAACTGCGACCCATGCACGTCTATATGTACATGATGATTATAATATTTCTGATACATTCTTGTGTATCTGAATGGAATAGCTATGCAATCGAATGTGCAGTTGTACTTGTTTATTACTGTATGCGTGAAAATAGCAAGGTGATCATTAGTTAGGTTTGAAATCAGATACCACTACTATATTGACCGTAAGTGTGGAAACTCACACAAGGTTTAGGATCCAAGTCAGAGAAAGCGCGTAGTAGACGCATACGCATTGTAGCAAGTGAGGATTTTAGAGCAAATATTAAGACACTTGAAAACGGACAAAGACATGACAACGATTGAGGATACCTCAAAAAGACTATCATATTGATCGAAACAAGTAAGAATGCAACAGAAGCCAACTCATAATGTATTGAATCAAAGTATTAGAAGTGTAAGAAAAAGACTTAGCATTTTCATTATGACTATTATGTCCGTTAGAGATGTTTGCTGAATATTTTTAAAACTGAATTATTTTCTTAGAGGGTCATGTCAGACATCGGATTTCACACAGACTGAAATTTATAACGTCTATCATAATATAGGACGTACATCTACTGTTATATCAGCCGCCATACGCGGTATTTCGAAGGATCATCCAGTGACAACCGATATGTGATGTGTTTATCCACACGTATCTAATTTCTAATGGAAATAAATTGTTTCATGTTTACGTGCTATACTCCATATCTGTTTTCAAAACCCTCATATATATTCAAACTTGGATTAGGTATCTAATTCACTTTCTTGAGGTAATTCATCTTTTGCAACATTGGAATTTACTGTCAATGAAACAGAAGTATAGTACTTTCCACGAATAATAGAATTACCGAATTGTGTACAAAATTCCATTGATTATATGACTTTAAGAGATCAATTTTTTCTAAAGATGTGAGTTCAAGTTCTACTTCAAAAATAATCATGTTGAAATTTTAGTGGTGCGAGAAATCAGGCGCCGGATAGTCCTCTAGTCCATCGTGCGTAGTAGAGAATTGTCTATCCTCTGCCATCATCCATCAAACTCGTGATTATTACTACTGTTGAATGTGCACAATAGTCGCAGAGCAATCCTTGTCATATACAGGGAGTTTTCTATTAGAAGATTCTAATTCAATAGATGTTCAGGTTTTGCTATGCATATAACTGACGCACAACATAAAACAAAAGAATAATGCGTTACGTTTTATTCTCAGGATTCGTAAAATCAATACAGTACATGAGGTCGGAGATTTTATAGCATATGATTAATGAAAAAAGATCCCGTTGATATCTAGATATCACGTACGCAGCATCACACAAAAGGATAAATGCATCAATATTCTAAGAAATTGTAGTCCAAGATACATCATAATAAGATACTCTACCGCGGATATAATACTTGTCTACTGATCTTCAATATACAAGAAAAACAAAGTGTGATCCAGAAGCAGCATGTGCTAATGACTCAATGTTAGTTCAAGTATTCAGTAATATTCACGAGAGCCATCTTCAATGCTGATTTTAATTAAGGATAATATCTTGTTATTTTAAGTATTTGTTTTTATTAAGCTTTTAATGTCAATTTGGTGACCAACAGTGACGCTGAAACTGGTTCTTGTGAGATGAGCAACAATATCACCAGTCCAACGGGATGGAGTTTTAGTGGACCTATCACACAAGTGTCTTATAGTAATACCTACTTCCTCGATCAGTCATCTTCAACACCGGGGCCCAGGTAAAATGAATATCAAGATTGTTCTTCCTGATAATTTATTTTTTTCTTTAGCGATCGTGGTCAATGTTACTTTTTCGGTCACATATCAAGTTTGACATCAATGTGGCAAACAATCGATTTGACTAACAAGGCCGATCCTCTTCTCATTGATAGTGGATTCGTAAACTTCAATCTTTCAGCATGGATGGGTGGTCTCAACGTTCAAAATGACAGTGTTACAATGTCGCTGACTTTTATTAATGAAGTAAATCAGATAGTGGGCAATTCTATCATGATCGGACCAGTGCTTGCCATTGATCGAGGAAGCATATCATCACTAATCTTTCAGCAGGCTAGTGGCATCGTGCCTGCCACCACTCGATCAATGACGTTAGTCGTCACAATGACTCGCTCTTCAGGAGCACAAAACAATGGCGATATTGACAATATTTCCGTCATTTTGTATCCGTAACGAATAAATGCACTTTTTCCTCCTCTAAATGAATAGCATATACGAGTGGCGATTGATCACATGTACATCTGTCTGTTTAACGTGGGTTTTGAAAACTATCCATGTTGTTGACAAGAAAACTGAATTAGTATTGTGAAAAGCTTTTGATCATCATCATCTATGTATCTAATGGCACTAACCACTTTAGATAGTTGAAGTCACCTGTTCTACTATCGATTTGAACTTAGGAAATCATTAAAGTTGAGTTCTACAACTCTTGAACCGAAAGCATTACTGAGGTTGCAGTTTCTTTATTGTGTAGCCATAACTAGGCCACATAATTATGTGTGAAAATGTTTTAGAAACGGCGAAACTTTCTTTATACCTTGCTACAGCTTCGGTATATTTTTGATTATTCATTTAAAAATAGTGTCCTCCGCAATGAAAGTGTAAAAAATGGATATTGTTAGCGTAGAAAATACGCTTTTTGACTATAGAATGTTTTATAGTAGGTTGCAGTACATGCTTGAAGTACAGTCATTCGCGTGACCACGTTTATTTTTGTCTGGAATATGTTTTATAGTATATTAGAATTGTCATACTTTATCAGAATCAACAATAACTATCAGAAAAAGTGTATAAAACTACTTGACATTAATTGAATATCCAGGTCTAATCGCAAAGAGCGCAAATGATATTCAAATTGTCCATACTTCTTTTGCAGCTTTGGTCGAATCTTATTTTCGTAACAAAACGATATGGAAGAAATTAGTTTCAAAAGCTAGAGTATGACTTTTTTATGAGGGTTTGGATGCTGATATGAATTTGATCGTGGCACTCATACTCATCTGTATTAAAAACGTGATGTCTTTGCATCACTAAAACAAAAGCATTTCCAATGTCATCTATTTTAAACAGCAAATCTATATAGTATTCACAGTTTTAAACTTTGATTGATATGCAGATTATTGAATATTACAGATATTGAGTGAACCGAAAATGATTAAACAACAATATGCATCGTATATATATATATAAAGAAAAGTTCAAAACGAACAAGATTTGATAGACAGTATCTATAGATATTAAGAAAAATGTCATAAGCGTCAATGCACCATGGAGTTTCAGAACCTTGCATCGTGTGTTTCATGTTATTTTACAATACAAACCAGATATTCGTTCGATATTGTTTCAACAAATGATGCATCCAAGAAACAACTAACAAAATATAGCAAAGCTTAGTATTCATCCATAAAAAATATGATGAAAAACAGTTGTGATTGAGCATTGCATATTATACTTCTAATTTTCATTTGTCTGCTCATTCTATAAAAGTTTGTATAGAAAAGGCTTCCTCAAATCCAATGTGTAAGAAAATCAAATTTCAATCTACCAGATATCAATACACTTTAGCAAAGTTTTGATAGAATCTAGTAGATTTTTCTGATTAGAGACCCAATTTTTCACTTTGATTATCACATTAAAATTCAATGAAATAAAATTTCAATATGTATTACTTAAGATTAGAGAGTTTTCGATTCTTTTATCTAAATCTGTTTCTTTTTATTCATGAAATACAAAACTATAAGTAAATGAAAAAGAAATCATTTAGGTTAACATATAATAAGTTTTATTTTTTTTGTTTTTTTCTTATTTGATTTAATTGATTAGTATTACAAACAATATGTGTATTAGTTGTAGCTAATTTTTTATTTCCACCTTCAATAAGTAATAAAGATGTTTCAATTTCTTTGAAATCTTTTGATGATATAGCTTTTGTTAAACGTTCTGTACCTTCATCAATCATTTTTTGTATAGTTGTCAAATTTTTATGTAACAATTTTTGTTCATCATATAAATCATTTTGTTTTTCAATAAGAAAATCATTTTTTGTTTCTTCTTTTATTGAATTTTTATTTGTTAATAATTCTTGTTGTCGTTTTTCTAAATCAATACAATAGCGTGAATGAGCATCACGAACACAATCAAGAAGTGCTTTTGTTATTGGTACTTCATGAGGTTTTCCATTACCAAAAAATTTTACTCCATCTCTTGTTGCTCTTAAACCATTTATTGATGCATCACTAAGCAATGAACGATCATCTGTTAATAAAAAAGCATTTTCACTAAAACCTCTTTCAACATCAGCATTCCCATGTGATAATGCAAGTATACATTTTATTAATTTAGGTAAAGCAATAAATTTATTTGTACCAGTATTTGTTTTAAGTGTAAAAACATTTTTCCAATAATAATCAATTGAATGATATTTATTTGTTTGTTCATACCATTCATTTGGTATGTTTTCATTTTGATATATATACCATTCAGCAGTAATACGATCAATATCATCTGGTATAATCATTTGAGGAAAACTTCGAGCAATATTCATAATACTTATATGAGACGTTTCAGAATGACGCATTATTGGATGTAAACATTTTAAATGTCGAAGTAAATCATTATTTAATGGTAATGTTCTTATAAGTTCTTTAGTTATTAATGAATACATATTTCGAATGTCAGAAAAAAATTGTTGATTTTCTTCACTTGATAAATTATTTTGATCAAGACGAGTTGCTTCACCTATTTCTAATTCTAAATAAAATAGAAAAAAAAAATGTAGAGTTTTACTAGTTTTTATTTTACGAATTGAAAGTTAAAGAAGGATTGTTCATTATTAATAAAGATAATGATCTAAGATTGTTGTATTCAACGATAATTTTCAAAATTTTATTTTCATCTCTGAAAATATTCATGACAAAAATCTAAAGAAGATATTAACTGAAATTCAAAATAATGATTAAGATAAACAATTCCTAGACGTAATTTAAAACTATAGGACAAACGAAAACTAAAATTAGACTATAATATTTTATTATTCAATTAAAAATAGAGTTCAATCTACATGATTCTTCAGGTATTGAGGAGAGTCTCTATTTTTACTTTGACTTTTCAGATCAAGTATAATAGACCCCGTAGAGCCAACGATAATTACCCTTTTTTAATAGTTTTCTCAAATAGCAAAAGAAATATTATGTATATTTGCTTAAAAGTTACTGAATATAGAAGAACTAGTTTCCAACTAAATATGATGTCTAAATTTGTATTTGAATTCAATTTTCTGTACTCGAATTAAATCTCATAGAAGACACAAGAGCTTTATTTCGATTCGTTCAGTAGTCGACTCCGATCGAAGAATAGTAAACTATTAGTAATTTAATGTCATTGTCGCATTTCTTCTATAATCAAATCGGATTTTTTTACTATTTGTTCTTGCTAACTAACTGGAGAACATATCTAGATGCTATTCATGAATTGAGTTCATATTCTATCCTCGTTCAGTTGTCACCATTTTACTAGGCTTTTGACCTTTGGTAAAGCATAGAGGAAAAAAATTGCATGAAAGTATTCTGTCTTGAAATTTTGTTTACAAATAGTTATTGTGAGCAAGAGATATTTCTTAAACGGTTCAGCTCAAAAAACTGAGCTATTATTAAGATGTCAAATGTTGAAGATACTCAATCTTCAGACTATTTATTATAACACATAATCATTATTTGGATTGTTCATACTTCAAAAACAACAAATTATTTTGAGCTAAACTTTTAGATCAAGATACTGCAAGTCGACTTCATCATCTATGCCTTGTCGAGAGACGAAAACTCCAATAAAATAATCATAATTCCAGAAGGATAGTGTATAAGAATGAATTCTTTTAGATTTCTGCTGGTTTCATGAACTCTTACTTACCCACACCCTCAAGTATAGTTTTCCTTTTAGACGCTTATTAATCTAGATAACTAATATTGAATAACATCTCTTAATATTGTCATATCAAACTGCGATGAAAATTATAATATTTATATGATATAAGAAATCATTCTTGATCTCTTTAAATTTCAGAAGACAAAATTTTCATGACATGAAAATAACTAAAATTATTTTACCTGAATCACATTTTTGATTAGCTTGAATATGAAATGAAATATTCATCAGTTCATTTAATGTTTTACTTTTAATTAAATCTTCATTTATAAAACATGAAAATAAACGTCGTATTAATTGTTCACATTCATCATACAATACATGAATTAATGGTTGAGTTTGTTGAAACCATTTTAAAATTTGTTCATATATATTATGATAAAGAAAAACAAGAAAGTTTAAACGTATTAATGTTGATTTTGTTTCAAAAATTCTTCTTATTTGTATATAACGATGATTGTTTAGTGAAATTTTACGATTTGTTGGAATAAATCTAATAAAATATTCTTTAAGATTTGTCCATTGTTCAATAACACGTTCAATTATTGGTCCAACATCAAGCCATCGTATTATTATGAAACGACGAATAAATTTACCAATATCATTTGATAGATTTTTAGTTAATTTTAAATAATCTTCACGACGTGATGGTGATCGACTAAACCAAAAACCTAAATTATTAAGAAATTCTTCAATTGACCAATTTGTACCATCCATGCCTATTTTAAATGAATTATGGATTAAATGTAATGGACATGAACCAATATGAATCAAACCAATATTTGATTTTATTGTTGATGACGATCTTACCATTTGAAAAAAAATCAGAGAATATTATATTTAATTGCTTTAATAAGCAATGTTTTTGTTATCAAGAATTATATCTTTTGACTAAATATTTCGATATCAATAAAATCTATTACAGTTTAAAAAAATCGGACGAACTAAGTGATGAAATTTTATCTAGTCACATGTATTTTACTAAAATTCGTTCATAACAATAACTTTTTGATTAAAAATTCTTAACTTAGGGCTTTCAATAAGATGTAATTAGGGATGCTTTACAATTCCATATGAATAAAAACACTTATTTTAATCATGTAACAAAAACATGATCATTATCACAATTTCATCACATAAACATCGACTTCAATGGTAATACAAACATGAAACCGATACTATTGACTAGTTGATTATTGGTATATTCTATCTCTTTTGCTGACCCTTTTAGAAATGTTTGCCGAATTTGAATTAATCGATTCGTGTATGTGATGAATGAATCTAATGACTTTTCATTTGTAAAATACATGTACTTGAGTCAATTGAATGACTACAGAGATAGAGCAAATATTAGCTCGAATTATAGACTGGACCAGTCAATATACCGATCCGATTTGTTTTGAGAAACTCAGACTAAGTCACCCAGGGCGAACAATCGGACACTAAGATCGGACAAGATTCTGCGTCTGATCATATATGATCTTGTTCGATTTGGTATGAATCGTACAAAAAATCGTAATCTCTGAAATCTTACATCAATTCTTATTGTAAGATTCTTGACAGATCTTGTTATCTTGCCAGATATTACAGGAATAGTACAGTAAGAATTGATGTAAGATTTCAGAGACTACGATTTTTTTGTACGATTTCATATGATCGTACAAGACGTACTGTCAGATTTTTTGACCTGGGCAGTATAGATTGTGAAAATTTAGACCTGATTTATCTCTACAGTAATAATGAAAGTTGTATGGCTAATTTAAAAAGTCATTATTAAAGAATGACCAACATTCATCAATGAATAAATCATGATTTTGTTATTCTATAAAAGATAGCGAACATTCTTTTCTAGTGTAAAATTGCTCTTTGATAATAATTCAAAGACTTTATCATTCTGTTAACTATAATTTCAGTTACACTGAGAATGAATAATCTATATCTCCATATCAATGACTGTATTGTACAGTTACCATGGATTATGTTTAGATTTTATTGATTTTTCAACACTTCAAGTAATCAGCATAATTAGCCCAATAATACACAAAGGATTATTTCGATACTTTTTACTGAATAGAGCAATAGACTACAATCATATGATGTAGAAATTGTTTCGAATCGAATCAGGTCAAACTCGACAGCAATTATATATTGAGATGATAACATTTTATATAAAAGAATGTAAAAATTACTTTCAATCTTTACTCGAAACATCTTTGCAAGTCATAAAGAATTTATGACGTTACAAAAAAATAAATAAAACTCTATTTCCCCTCTTGTTCAATGACAAAATGTTAAATCTATTCAATAAAAAAATATATAAATTTTTATCTTAACTCACTGTTTTTCTCGTTCAAGACGAATTTCTTGATCCATCATAATTTCAACAGTTTTATTCACATTGGGATTATCTCTGCCTAATTAAATAAAATGAAATTAATTTTTTTGAAAAGAAATCAAAGTAGATCATATCTATTAGAACATACCTAACATTAATATTTTCTTTATATCAATTCCATCTGCTCGTAATGTATCAATCATATTTCGAAAAAGTATTTCAGCTGTTGCATGACCAAGAAAAATACTTTTATAATATCTTACAACTATTTCTTGTTTTCTTTCACACCAATAACGAAAATGTAAATCTAATTGTTTTCTTACACTAACAGTTATTGTTTCATCAAATATTAATGTATAGCCCGGTGCTTTCATTAAATCATGTAACATAATTTTAGTAAAATAATGACCTGTACCATGTGATAATATATAAGATAATTTTCTTGGTTTCATTGAAAATTCTTTTACTATATTACTATCAGAAAACATTTGAGAAAATAATTCTTGAATATATTGTGAAGAATTATAACTAAGACCAAGTTTAGCTGTTGCCATTGCCCAATAAGCTTCAGCACGTGTAACTTTTTCATCTAATGTTAATGCACGTTCATTACTTGTATTTACTTGAAGAGATGATGATGATGATGATTTTGTAACAATTAATTGACCTGATTCAATAACATCTTTAAGACATTGTAGATGTTTTGGTCGTTGTGAATGTTTATAAACATCGGACCAACCACCATTTTTACAACTTTTTTCCTCATTACAAACAATACATAAAAATGTACTGACAGTTTTGCCTTGTTTAAGCCAGCGTGAACATGGATTTTTTGTTCCATCAAGTTTATACAACCATTTAGTACAAAAACGGGTATCTTTGTTTGGCATTTCTCTTTTGTTATCGATTTGAATTATAGTTCAATTTACGATAGTTCGAAGACAATAATATCGTATATATAACACGTGGATAATACGTTATTAAATTTTATGGCGTAAGAAGAACAGAAAGAATGGGAATATTCGTTAGAACAATAACTACGCAATATAAAAATGATCATATGAGTATGGACGAGAGCGACGAGAAACTAACACCCGCATAATGAATACTTTTTCATAGACTAGGCAGATATGTGATTTTTTAACTTACAAAAGTCTGATTTACTGTTCAATATTGCTCTATCATGTCTCAAATATCAATATAATCTGAAAACTTCAAAACGGAGAAAATTTTTTTCAGTGAAAAACCACTATAAAAGAACCTTGCCCTATATGTATACAAGGACAGTCTTTTTTTTAAAGATTAATACGTTATATACCATTCGATGCAGTTCTATATGCTGATTCCAAATATGAAGTTAGTTTTCAATAAACATGTTTTTTATTGACGCAAATGAATTTTACCTCGAAAATTGCAGGTCAGTCATGCAATGTTTGCGTTTATTCGCACTAACACTACATTGATATTATGGGTAGAGGAACATGTGATGGAGTTTTCGTCCTATTCTGAGTTATCAGAACTTATACAAGCTCATTAAATCGAACACATATTTCTATAAAAGCGCTCAGTTTTAATGATGAATGGCTTTATTCGAATCCCAAGCAGATAATAATGAAATTTTTTTTTCACGAATTGATAGAATGAAAGACGCAAAATCACATTACCTATAACTTTCTTAGAGACTATTTCTACTTATGTTGTTTTTTGATGAAGTTTTCTTTGAACTTTCGATAAATACTTACAAGAGAAACAAAATCTCTTATATCATTTAATAACTCAAAGGACGGAGTACATGTTGTTCTGTTTAAATTCTTAAAAAAGTAAACTTTCGATTTTTCATCTAATTAACACTTGGATGGTCGCAGTAAGTTACATCTTCATGTAAATCCTAGTGAGTTATGCATATTCTGAAAATAATTTATGTTGTCGGTTTATTGCTGCCGAGATTACTGTATTTCTACGGTATTTTATAAAATCACAACTATAATAACTCTCAAAAACAACTGCAAAACTGTTTTTTTTTTTTAATTTTTATTTCAAACTTTGCACATAGATAGACTGAAAACAGAATAGTTTATTATGAAAACTTCAGTCTTTTTAATAATCGCGAAGGAAGCCACGACTTTAATTTTAAAAAATACTATAAAAAAGACGCAGCATATCAATAGTAATAAACTGACAGTACCAATTCTTTTCATTGTATTCATAACTTACTAGGTTCTACATAATGCATACTGTCCTGACTCAAATGTGATTCGTCAATTGAAGCACTTATATCGATACTAGATAAAAAAACTATCTCTTGAGTACTTAGAAATAATTTAGCACAATCTACATCAGAAAGATGTCAATAATGTATTCTGAAGTTTATCATAAACTATTTAATCGAAACTCATAAAATTAACTTCTAAGCAGAAGAATTCACAGATAGAAATCTGAATTAGTTGGTAATATCAATAATAAACATTTTCTTGGCCATGAGATGGAAAACTCTGCTCATAGTGTCTCTTTGAATTGAATCAAGAAAAATGATATTGTACTCATTTCATATTATTTTTTTTTATTTGAATAAAGACAAAATAAAGAAAAAAAAAAACAATTTGGACATATATTCACAGATGATTTATAATTATTTGTGCGGTATGTTCAATCATTTGATGAGCAACTTCAAATCTTAATGGACCATATAAGAAAACATGAGCGCCATGAAATGCATTAGAAAAGTGATGATGATAAATTGTTTTATTCAATGAATTTAATCGAGAAGCAAATATAAAACCTTAATAAAACAAAAGAAAAATAGAAAATTTTAATTAATTTAATGAAGTTAATTAAAATTAATCTACCTTCATCTCGAAGAATATCAAATTCAGTTGTAAAAAGAAGAATTTTTGGTAATTGAATCAATTGTTGATCAGATACAAGTAATGGAGACATTAATGGTGATAATAAAAATTTTAAATTATTTACTAAATTTTTATTTCCTTGTTGAGTCTCATTGAATTCATGAGATATAGATAAATATTTATTTGGATCTATAAAAGGATAAAGTTTTTTCTTATCATCAATTGATACATGTAAATTAAAAAATATATCTTCTGTTATTTGAATATCATTTTCACTTAATAGAGATACCATAGAAATAAGATTATTTTCATTTAAAACACCAAGAATATTCTGTTTTAAATATATACGATAAGATGGTAAAGTAAAATCAAAAAATTGTAATGATGGATATAATAAAGATAATAAATATGGTTTATATCCATCGTTAATTAATGAATGACTAACAACTAAAGCTAAATTTCCTCCAGCTGAATCACCAGATATTATAATTCGATTAGAATTTATTTGATAATCATATCCATTTTCAAATAATTCTCGACTAACAGATAAACAATCTTTCAAACCACTTGGAAATCGATGTTCTGGCGCCAAACGATATCTAAATTGATCAATTTCAATATTAAATCATTCTTGCTTGAAAATTAAGAACGGTAAAAAATTAACCAGAGCACTGGAAACTTTGGCTCTTGCCTTCTATCAATTTTGTTTTCAAGAAAAACGAATGGCAATTTTTTGCACATGATCGTGTTTTTTACATCGTTAATTGTACAAAATTCAATGTCACTTAGGATCTAAATAGATCGTACATCCTAGTAGTTTTGTCTTCCTGTAAAACTTTCAATTTCGTGTATAAAAATGCAAAGTAATATGGTCCGAAAAGTAACATTATCAAAACTACATGCGTAAATTCAGGACATTTTGATAACAAATGCACCGATAAAGAGAAAAAATAAATCTCACATGATATTTACTCAATAATCATTAACAATCGTAGTTTCTTCATATCAAGAATAGTTGGTGGATCGTTGAGATATTTTTTAAGTCAGTTATTTTCTCAATTTAGCTTTCATCATAAGAATAATAATCAAAGACTTGATTTCAAAATACCTATCAAGACCGGTTTTGATAAAATAATAAAATTCGAAATAGTTTATGTCTGTGAATTTTAATTTCAGAGTTATTCAAACCTTAAATCAAAGATTTAGAAAATCATTGATTTATGGAAGTTTAATTATAAAACGATTACAATATTTTTTACATTTCTCAAAAAGATAGTTTCGTTTATAATTGAAACTTTCACAAAGAAAAAAGCCCTTCTCTTCCTTTTTTTCTAAATGCAGTAAAATCTGTTTATAATTATAATACAAAATTGAAATTCTCGCGATAATTTGAAGAATTTTTTTTCGCTAAACTTATTTATTTTTAACTGATTATCCAAACAATTGAATTGTTTTGATATAGACTTACTCAACTGCAATAAGTGTAGTACGTGTTAAATTAGCCATGAGATAAGTTGCTTGATCATATGTTTCAATCGATCCTAAAAGAAATCCACCACCATGAAAATAAATGATTGCTGTTTTTTTCTCATAATCAATTAATTCTTCTGGTTCATAAATTCGTACACTAACATTTGCAATTTTTCTATCATAAACCTATATATATTTATATAAAAAAAAGATTTTATTTGTTGTTGTTTTTGTTATTTCAATTAACAAATTTATACTTTTAAACGACATTCAGGATGTCGTTTTTGAAATAAACCAATTGATAAATAATGTAGATTTCGTATTAAATCAATACGATTAAATAAATTTATTTGCTCAGAATAATATCCCTGAATACAATTAATTAAATTATTTTTTTTTAATAGAAAAAAAAAATCCAATATATTCACATACTAATCGATCGATTTGATGAGCCCAGTATGAAAGAAAACGATATTTCCATGGTTGAGGAAAATTTTCTGGTAATGGTTGATAAGTAATTCCAATTAATAAAACAAATAAACTTATTATTACAAAAAGGATATTTATTCCTGATAATGACTGCATAACTATCTGAACTCTAAGTGAGAATTACTATCAATTAATATTAACGTTAAGATCACACCATCATCAGGCCATAAACACTTGAATATATATTGTATTAGTCATTCATCAACAGAATCTTAAAAAATCTATCTACAAAGAAAAACAAAACTATTCGAACCATATGTAATCCGTCAGGTTTTGACAAACATCTTATTTTGTAGTTACGTAAAGTATGACACATATGATAAAATTAAATTTATCGAATATTTTATATTTAAATAATAATAATTGTTTAAAATTAATCTGAAAAAATACTTTTTTTTTGTTTTTTCTTCAATAAAATAATTTATCATGATAATAAAAGATGGCGTTTGTTGACTATTGTGTGATTTCTATCAGCTGTTCAATACTTATATACTATTGGTTGGTAAACATAAATATTTATCGATTGGTTACAACTATTTCGTAGAAAGTAATAGTTGTAAACTAATGACCTTCGTCTTGGTTTCTATTTGTATGAATTTTTTTTTCCTAATGAAAACAAAATAATATTGTTCAGTTCTTATTTAATAAATATCTATGGAATATTATCTGATTTTATGATTCATACGTGTCGTGATAATATGATAAAATTTTATTTGAAGTATTGAAGATTAGTAACTAACATAAATATCAATCGATAGAACATTGAATTTTATATACCTTGCGAATGACAATGAAATATAGATTTTAATAAGTTTGTTCATGTATTTTATTATACAGCATTAACTTATACAGATACACATTAGTTTTCGTTTATAGTTATATGTATTCAAGATAAACATATACAGAAACCATTAAAATATCGGAAAATAGTATGAGATTTTTTTAAATTTTGATTTTATTAATAATTTTCAAAGTTTACCTATGAATAAAAAATATTATATAGATGATATTAACATAAGATGCTAATGATCTTCAGTGAATACAGTCTTATTCATAGAAAGATACTAGATCATATTGTCTTGAAG